ATCGACTCCCACATCGAGCTCCTTGCTCAGCAGGGAGCCTGCTTCTCCCTCTCCCTTGGCCTGCCATTCCCCCTGCTTGTATGTACTCTTTCTCTCCATCAAATAAATGAATAAAATCTTAAAAAAAAAAAAAAAGAATAAAAGAATTCAGTAAAGTCACAGGATACAAAATGAACATATGGGAAAATTTGTTGCATTTCTATACACTAATAACAAGCTATCAGAAAGAGAAATCAAGAAAACAATCCCATTTACAATTGCATCAAAAAGAACAAAATACCTAGAAAAAAAATTTAACCCATGAAAGACCTGTACTCTGAAGAGTATAAAATGAAAAAGATTGAAGACAACAAAAATAAATGGAACTATATACTGTGCTCATGGACTGGAAAAATTAATATTGTTAGAATGTCTATACTACACAAAGCAATCTACAGACTTAATGCAGTCCCTATCGGGGCACCTGGGTGGCTCAGTCAGTTAAGTGTCTACCTTTGGCTCAGGTCATGATCCCAGGGTCCTGGGATCAAGTCCCATATTGGGCTCCCTGCTCTGCAGGGAGTCTGCTTCTCCCTCTGCCCCTTCCCCCCCTTATTCTCTCAATCTCAGTCTCTCACTCTCACTTTCTCAAATAAATAAAGCTTTTAAAAACAAGGACTTAATGCAATCCCTATCAAAATACCAATGGCATTTTTAACAGAACTAGAACAAAGAATCCTAAAATGTGTATTGAACCACAAAAGACCCTAAATAGCCAAAGTGATCTTAAAAAAAACAAAGCTGGAGGTTATCATGCTCCCTGACTTCAAAATATGTTAAAAAGCTACACTAATAAAAACAGAATGGTACTGGTACAAAAAAACACACATACATCAACGGAACAGAATAGAGAGCCCAAAAATAAACCCACACATATACAATCACCATTTGGCATTTGCCTTAATAATAATTGATTTGGGCAAGACTCATCAATAGATGTTGTATTAGTTTCCTATTGCTGCTTTCGGAAATGTCAATTTCATGAAACACCAGTAAAGACTCAGGAACTTCCAAGTTAAAGGATTCTAAAGAGGGGCATGTGGATGGCAGAATGGGTTAAGCCTCCAACTCTTGAGCCAGATGGCTTCCCAGGGGAATTCCACCAAATATTTAAAGAAGAATTAATACCTATTCTTCTGAAACTGTTCCCAAAAAATAGAAATGGAAGGAAAACTTCCAAACTCATTTTATGAGGCCAGCATTACCTTGATCCCAAAATCAGACAAAGAACCCATCAAAAAGCAGAATTACAGACAAATATCCCTGATGAACATAGATGCAAAAATTCTCACCAAAATAATAGCCAATAGGATCCAACAGTACATTAAAAGGATTATTCACCACGACCAAGTGATATTTATTCCTGGGCTGCAAGGTTGGTTCAACATCCACAAATCAATGTGATACAATACATTTAATAAAAGAAAGAACAAGAATCATATGATCCTCTCAATAGATGCAGAAAAAGCATTTGACAAAGTACAGCATCCTTTCTTGATTAAAATTCTGTTCAGAGTGTAGGGATAGAGGGTACATACCTCAATATCATAAAAGCCATCTATGAAAAACCTACAGCAAATATCATTCTCAATGGGGAAAAAATGAGAGCTTTCCCCCTAAGGTCAGGAACACGGCAGCGATGTCCACTATCACCACTGCTATTCAACATAGTATTAGAAGTCCTAGCCACAGCAATCAGAGAACAAAAAGAAATAAAAGGCATCCAAATCAGCAAAGAAGAGAAACTCTCACTGTTTGCAGAGGATATGATATTTTATGTGGAAAACCCAAAAGTCTCCACCCCAAAACTGCTAGAACTCATACAGGAATTCAGTAAAGGGGCAGGATATAAAATCAATGCACAGAAACCAGTGGCATTCTTATACACCAACAACAAGACAGAAGAAAGAGAAATTAAGGAGTCGATCCCATTTACAATTGCACCCAAAACCATAAGATTCCCAGGAATAAATCTAACCAAAGAGGCAAAGGATCTGTACTCAGAAAACTATAAAATACTCATGAAAGAAATTGAGGAAGACACAAAGAAATAGAAAAACGTTCCATGCTCATGGATTGGAAGAACAAATATTGTGAAGATGTCAATGCTACCTAGAGCAATCCACACATTCAATGCAATCCCCATCAAAATACCATCCACTTTTTTCAAAGAAATGGAACAAATAATCCTAAAATTTGTATGGAACCAGAAAAGACCCCGCATAGCCAGAGGAATGTTGAAAAAGAAAAGCAAAGCCGGCGGCATCACAATTCCGGACTTCCAGCTCTATTACAAAGCTGTCATCATCAAGACAGTATGGTACTGGCACAAAAACAGACACATAGATCAATGGAACAGAATAGAGAGCCCAGAAATGGACCCTCAACTCTATGGTCAACTCATCTTTGAAAAAGCAGGAAAGAATGTCCAATGGAACAAAGACAGTCTCTTCAACAAATGGTGTTGGGAAAATTGGACAGCCACATGCAGAAGAATGAAACTGGACCGTTTCCTTACACCACACACAAAAATAAACTCAAAATGGATGAAAGACCTAAATGTGAGACAGGAGTCCACCAAAATCCTAGAGGAGAACACAGGCAGCAACCTCTTCGACCTCAGCCGCAGCAACTTCTTCCTAGAGACATCGCCAAAGGCAAGGGAAGCAAGGGCAAAAATGAACTATTGGGACTTCATCAAGATAAAAAGCTTCTGCACAGCAAAGGAAACAGTCAACAGAAACCAAAAGACAACCGACAGAATGGGAGAAGATATTTGCAAATGACATATCAGATAAAGGGCTAGTATCCAAAATCTATAAAGAGCTTACCCAAAGAACAAAGAATCCAATCAAGAAATGGGCAGAAGACATGAACAGACATTTTTCCAAAGAAGACATCCAAATGGCCAACAGACACATGAAAAAGTGCTCAAGATCACTCAGCATCAGAGAAATCCAAATCAAAACCACAATGAGATACCACCTCACACCAGTCAGAATGGCTAAAATTAACAAGTCAGGAAATGACAGATGTTGGCGGGGATGCGGAGAAAGGGGAACCCTCCTACACTGTTGGTGGGAATGCAAGCTGGCGCAACCACTCTGGAAAACAGTATGGAGGTTCCTCAAAAAGTTGAAAATAGAGGTACCATACAATCCAGCAATTGCACTACTGGGTATTTACCCCAAAGATACAAATGTAGGGATCCGAAGGGGTATGTGCACCCCGATGTTTATAGCAGCAATGTCCACAATAGCCAAACTGTGGAAAGAGCCAAGATGTCCATCGACAGATGAATGGATAAAGAAGATGTGGTATATATATATACAATGGAATATTATGCAGCCATCAAAAAAAAAAAAAAGAAATCTTGCCATTTGCAATGATGTGGATGGAACTGGAGGGTATTATGGTCAGCGAAATAAGTCAAACAGAGAAAGTCATGCATCATATGACCTCACTGATATGAGAAATTCTTAATCTCAGGAAACAAACTGAGGGTTGCTCGAGTGTTAGAGGTGGGAGGGATGGGGTGGCTGGGTGATGGACACTGGGGAGGGTATGTGCTATGGTGAGCACTGTGACTTGTGTAAGACTGATGAATCACAGACCTGTACCTCTGAAACAAATAATACATTCTATGTTAAAAAAAAAAAAAGAAGAAGATAGTAGGAAGGGAAAAATGAAGGGGGGGGAAATTGGAGGAGGAGACGAACTATGAGACTATGGACCTTGAGAAACAAACTGAGGGTTCTAGAGGGGAGGGGGGTAGGGGATGGGTTAGCCTGGTGATGGGTATTAAAGAGGGCACGTATTGAATGGAGCACTGGGTGTTATACGCAAACAGTGAATCATGGAACACTATATCAAAAACTAATGATATAATGTATGGTGATTAACATAACATAATAAAATAAAATTGAAAAAAAAAAAGGAAATGTCCTCTCAGAAATTAATTGAACTGATTACTCTAAGAGGTGACATAAACAAAAAAGGTGACATAAAACAAATTTAAGATGGATTATACAAATTCATTCATAGCAGCTACTAAGGAAAACTATACAGGCGAGCCTCAGAGATACTGCAGTTCAGTTCCAGACCACCACCACAAAGCTAGTATTACTCTAATAAAATGAGTCAAATTAATTTTGGGGCTTCCCAGTGCATGTAACAGTTATGTTTACACTATCCTGTAGTCAACTAAGTATGCAATAGCATTATGTCTAGAAAAACAACATACATACTTCATTGCTAAAAAATGCTAACCATCATCTGAGCTTTCAATGAGTCATAATCTCTGCCACAGATCACTAAAACAAATATAATAATGAAAAAGTTTGAAATATTGCAAAATATGACATAAAGTGAGCAAATGCTATTTGAAAATGGTGCCAAGAGATGTGCTCAGTGCAGGGTTGCCACAAACCTTCAATTATTTTTTAAAAAGGCAATGTCCGCAAAGTACAATAAAGTAAAGCACAATAAAACAAGGTATGCCCATATTCTGGCACATACTTCTAAACTTTAAAATGTGATATCAAAGGAAACAAAAATGTTGCCCTTTGGTGTTACAGAAATATCCATGAACTGGTTCAGTCAGTAACCTCAATCATTAATAAGTATATTACTTGTGACATTCTTATACCCATATGTCATTCTAGAGCAAGAGAATTACCTAATCAGGGGAATTAAAAATTGAAGTGAAAATACTTTAGTAGTTTCAGACAACCTACATCTCAAAGTAATGCTTTTAGCAATGTAACCAGAATGTAAAAGGACAATAGCTTTTAGAAAAGTATGGGGTGCCTGGGTGGCTCAGTCAGTTAAGCACCTGACTCTTGGTCTCAGCTCAGGTCTTGATCTCAGGGTCGTGAGTTCAGGCCCCATGTTAGGGTCCATGCTGGAAATTGAAGGGAAAAAAACAAGGTGTATCTAATAGACAATTTATTTACACTTACCTGTTACTTCTTTTAACTGATTTGTTCTGCCATGGTGGATCCATCACAATTACATCATATGTTTTCCTACCTGAAAACAAACACACAATTTCAGAAAATACCTACCTTCTGTAGGTGATCACTTTAGAAACTAAAGTGCATTGACTACAGACACATATAATGGAATGCAACAAAAGGACTTACAACATCTATTCAAATAAAATAATCTGAAAAAATTGAGATTTCCCTTATAATTCAGTACCACGGGGATTTTAACATAAGTTTACCTATTGCTATTTTTGCAAAGACTACCTGAAAATAACTACAGGTCACTTAGCTGGACACCAATCATATGTAAATGCCCTTTAGGTCTTGACAGCCATATTAATATGGTCCTTTCAAACCTAAATGTGTTTTGTTTTTTTCATGTTTTTGCTTTACTTTTTTTAAGCTTCGTTTTGAAATAATTTATCTTAAAACTGACACACTGACCATAATAAAACTTCCTCAATTGTCTACAGGTGTCTTTTTTTCTGACCCAAGATCCAAAGCAGGATCACACACTGCATCTAATTGTCATGTCTCCTCAATCTCTTCCAATCTGGGAAAGTTCCTCAGTCTTTCTTTGTCACTTATGACCTTGACACTTTGAAGGCTATTGGCCAGTTATTTTATAGAATGTCTCTTAATTTCGGTTTGGTATTTCCTCGTGATTAAATTTAGATTATTAATGTTTGGCAAGAATTCTACCAAATAATCAGGAAATACAAGATGTCAAAATGTCTCATTATTGGTGATACTATCTTTAATCATTTGGTTAAAGGGTTGTCTACCAGGTTTCTCCAGTTTTCACTTTGTAATTAATAAGTATCTTGTAAAGAGATACTTTAAGACTGCACAAATATCCCGTGTCTCATCTTTTCACCTACTATTTTGAAATCTATTATGTTTTTTGCCAAATAGAAACTTTCTAGTTCTATCGTTCCACCTACATTTATTAACTGGAATTTTACTGTAAGGAAGAGCTGTCCCTTCTGCTTTTATAAATATAGGTATATTTTGGTAAATGTACAATTTCACAAGTAATCAAAAGAGTGCAAATTAAAATGAGGAAGTAATAGTTTTTAAACTATTAAAATGACAAAAATAAAAAAGTACAGAAAACAACGTTCAAACATAACATAATTTTCCCATTAGTTTATTATCCTGTCATTTACCCTGAAGAATTTATGACACTGTGACATGAATAACCACTCATGTGTAACATAGCTTGACAGCAATTAAAAGATAGCTTTTCCTTAATGAACTATGTCATTTAATAACTTAAAATTTTTATATTAAATATCCAAAAAACAAGAGCATATTAAATTAAATTTTCATATAATACATTTCTTTCCTACTTCATTTCTTAGAATATTATGACTTATTAAATACATATAAATCCCTGAGATAAGCAATTGATACAGATTAATTCATTTAATCTTCAAAGTGACCTTCAGAAGTAGATTATTATCATAACTATTTTATAAACTAGGAAACTGAGGCTCAGTTTTGTGAAGTGAATAGCTCAAAGATTAACAGTTAAACTTTAGAATAATCTAAATTCAAATTCAGGTGTATATGAATGTGGACTTCAATCTTTAAATTTTGTTGACATTATACAGGAAAATATTTCAAGAAATTTTAGACAATAAACTGTAACACCAGCTTAAAATGTAACCTAAAAGGCTATGGTGTTAATATTCATATCTAAAGTGTTCCTACTTTGCTATAAAGAAAAGTTAAATAAAATTGTTTGGCCAAGCCCAATTATATCATGAATTCTTAAGTACAGAGCAGCAACTACATTTGCTTTCATGGGGACCAATTACTTTTTGGCCCTTTGTTCATTAGTCTTATTTTTTAATTTTTTCAAATTTTTAAATGTTTTTAAACCAAAAGTCAGAGATTTAAAATTAAATTTGAAAGAAAAAAATCACAGAGAAAATTAAGCATTTAGTCTATCCTCATACTGCTGACCCACATTTAGCATTCAGACTAGCTCTTGACTTCCAAGGCCACAAAAAAATTATATTTTTCTAATAACATAGTAATTACTTACAGTTCAGAAGTGGATGCATGCAAGAAATGTCAGACAAAAGAAAACTGCTTTTTGGTGGCACCAGGTATTTCTGTCCCATTAAAGTAATTATTTTTGTAAAGCTAGAGTTGTTTTCAACAACCCGTGAAAATAAATCCTGTTCTGTAATAGACATATCTTCTTCCATCAATTGTAATGCCTGAAGATCCATTTCATTCAGAGAAGGCAAATGCTTTGCCATTGTACATAATTCTGACAAACTGCAGGCATCAAGTGGTAAAGTAATGGGCTCACTACACTTGTCCCATTTTTCAGAAAGTGGATGAAGAAAGCCACTTTTGAGACCTTCTTGGATTAACTCTGAAGAGCCATCCAAAATCAGTCCCCTGATCTGTAAGAAAAATTTGTTAAGATACATTAAAAGGCCATTTACATTAAGACAATTCTCTAAATAATGAAATTCCTACTATGCTTTGAATATTTGAACGTTATCGATTGAAATCAATATTTTATTTCTTTTTAAAGATTTTATTTATTTATTTGACAGAGAGACACAACATGAGAGAGAGCACAAGTAGGGGGAGTGGGAGAGGGAGAAGCAGGCTCCCAGCTGAGCAGAGAGCCTGATGTGGGGCTCAATCCCAGAGCCCTGGTACTATGACCTGAGCCGAAGCAGACACTTAACAACTGAGCCACCCACCCAGGCGCCCCTGAAATCAATGTTTTAAAGCTTACACTAAAATAATTTTATGATAAAATGTAAAGGCAAGAATGTGTGAGTATACCTTCAAATTGCTGTTTCTTAAATGTGGAATAAAACAAACTTCATAAATTCACTTACAATTAAATAACCAAACAATACACATATAAAACACATTCTTAAAAATGTATTAAGATGAATTTGAAATAAATAAATAAATAAATATGAATTTGATAACATAAATGTTTCTAGAACAAAGCAGAATTTCTAATCTATAAAGCAAACTAAGTTTAAATCACATTTAATATTAAATTTTTCTAGTGATCTAATTTTAAAATAAACTTACCTTTGAATTTATATTTCTTAAATTGTAAAGAAAAAAAAAGTAACTGTTAAATGAACATACAAAATTTTGCAAAAATACAATTACAATAATTAGAAAATTAAAATCTAAGTTCCCCTTCTGGGCAAGATGCAATACCAGAGGTCAGATTTAACTTTTCATCAGACGTTACTTTTTTTAAAAAGTATAAAGTATAAATTTTTTAAAAGGCTATCTGACTTAGATAGATGTCAAGTAGTGAAAAATACTGGTCCCTAAAAAAGGAAAAACGAATGATTGTTCCAGCTTACTGCCTTGAGAAGGTTTGCAGGCGGCAGCGCAGCAAAGGAGACCCATTCAGAGTCCAACAGTCTCTGAGTTGAGAGGATGCAGCTGGAAGTCTGAAAAGGTCAAAGCAGCTAGAGTTTGCAGGGCAGGATACCAAAGAGGAGAGAGCTGCAGAGAGAGACAGTTCTTAAAAGCTGCAGGAAGATCCACTCAAGTCTCCCCAAGGTCAGGGAAAGAAATGATGTCAAATGATCAGAGGGTACAATCCACAGAGCTCACACAGGGCTGGGAACAGCGATCCCACCAGCCAGAATGGAAACTCTCCTAATTTACAAGGCATCAGGTAGACGACTCATAGGGGTATTGCCTCATGAGTGGAGGGAAAAATAGCTCTAAAGACTGCTCTGGTCCTAACTAAAAAACCTTAAAACAAGCTTCAAAACTTTAAAAGAAAGCCACAAAAGGATCAACCAGTTTCAAAGTAACTTTGTCCAAGAACAAAGTTCAAGAATATTTATAGGAATATGAAAATATCTAGTACTCAAGAAGCTAAAATTGAAATGTCTTACAAAAAATAAAGTTACCAGATATATAAAGAAGCAGGAAAACGCAACACATTATGGAGAAATAATCACTCAATAGAAACATACAGGAATAACAGAGATGAACAAACAGTAGAAAAGGCTGGATAGGTTTACTTGCAGCCCATTTAAAAGATTAGGAACAAAAGTAGAAAAATACAATAAGGCACTTATCATAACCATATTCATATGTTCAAAAATGTACAGAAAAAAATAAGAATGTTAAAGAAACACAAAACTACTTAAAAAAATCGAGCTTCTAGAGAAAAAAACTGCATACCACAGAAATACTGTCAGTTGGGTTCCGGACCACTGGAATAAAGTCAAGTTATCACAACAAAATCAGTCATTGAAGGCAAGGGCTGTAAGCTGCAAAAGATTCGCCTGTATTTTATAAATCAGACTATATATTCTTTTCTATAATCATTACCTTTTTCGTCCCCCTTGGTGCAGTCTTTCTCAAAATACGTATTTCGACTACCTCCATTGGAATCACCTGGAGGTTGTTAAAAATAAAAATTTCTAGTCCCATACAGGAGACATTGGGGGTTTAGTTCCAGGCCACCACAATAAAGTGACTATTGCAATAAAGTGAGTCAAATTAATTTTTTGGCTTCCCAGTGCATATAAAAGTTGTATTTATACTGTATCATAGTCTATTAAGGACTCGATAGCATTACATCCTTTAAAACAATGTATATGCCTTAACTTAAAAATACCTTATTGCTAAAAAATGCAAACTACTATCTGAAATTTCAGCAAGTCATATTCTTTTTGTGGGTGGAGGGTCTTGCCTCTGTGTTGATAGCTGCTGACTCATTAGGGTGGTGGTTGCTGAAGGCTGAGGTAGCCATGGCAATTTTTAAAAATAAAACAATGAAGTTTGCCACATTAATTGACTCTTCCTTTCATGAAAGATTTCTCTGTAGCATGAATGCTGTTTGATAGCATTTTACCCACAATAGAACTTCTTTCCAAACTGGGAGTCAATACTCTCAAACCCTTTTGCTGCTTTACCAACTCAGTTTATGGAATATTCTAAGTCCTCTGTTATCATTTCAACAATGTGCACAGCATCGTCACCAGGAGTAATTTCCACCTGAAGGAATAACTTTCTTTGTTAGTCCATCAGAAGCAACCCCTCATCCACTAAAGCTTTATCATGAGCTTGCAGCAGTTGGGTCACATCTTCAGGCTCCACTTCTAATTCTAGCTCTCTTGCTGTTTCCACCACATCTGCAGTGACTTCCTCCACTGAAGTCTGGAACCCCTCAAGGTCATCCCTTAGAGTTGGAATCACCTTCTTTCACACTCCCAGTAATGTTGATACTTTGACCTCTTCCCACGAATCACAAATGTTTGTGGGTTTTTTTTAAGATTTTCTTATTTATTTATTCATTTGAGAGACAGAGAGAGCAGGAGCAGAGGGAAAGGCAGAGAGAGAGGGAGAAGCAGACTCCCCACTGAGCCGGGAGCCCGATGCAGGGCCCAATTCCAGGACCTGGAGATCATGACCCGAGCTGAAGGCAGACACTCAACCATCTGAGCCACCCAAGTGCCCCAAATCACAAATTCTTAATGGCATCTAGAATAGTGAAACTTTTCCAGAAGACTTTCCATTGACTTTGTGCCCAGATCCATCAGAGGAATCACTGTCTGTGGAAGTTACAGCCCTACGAAATGTATGTCTTCAATAAGACTTGAGTCAAAATTACTCCTTGATCCATGACCTGCCAAATGGATTTTGTGTGAGCAGGCATGAAAACAACATACATCTAACTGTACATCTCCATCAGAGCTCTTGGGTCACCAGGTGCATTATTAAAAATAATAAGTACTATTTTGAAAGGAGTCTTTTTTTCTGAGCAGTGGGTCTCAACAGTGGGTTTAAAAGATTCAGTAAGCCATGTTGTAAACAGATGTGCTGTCATCCAGGCTTTGTTGCTCCACCTATAGAGCAAACACATAGTAAATTCAGCATAGTTTTTTTTTTAAAGATTTATTTATTTATATTAGAGAAAGAGAGAGCATGAGCAGAGGGAGAGGCAGAGGGAGAGGGAGAAAATCCTCAAGCAGTCTCCCTGCTGAGTGCAGAGCCTGACACAGGGCTTGATCCCAGGACCCCGAGATCATGACCCAAGCTGAAATCAAGAATCAGATGCTTAACCAACTGAGCCACCAAGTGCCCAAATTAGCATAATTCTTAAGGCCCCTAGAATTTTCAGAATGGTAAATGAGCACTGACTTCAACTTAAAGTCACCAGCTTCATTAGCCCCTAGCAAGAGAGTCAGCCTGTTCTCTCAAACTTTGAAGTTAGGCATTCTCCTGTCTAGTTATGAAATTCCTAGATGGCATCTTTTTCCAATAGAAGACTGTTTTGTCTATATTGAAAATCTGTTTAGTGTAGCCACCTTCAGTACTGATCTTAGCTATGTCATCTGGATCACTTGCTGCGGCTTCTACATCAGCACTTGCTGTTTCACCTTGCACTTTTGATGTTATACAGACAGCTTCTTAAACCTCATGAACCAACCTCTGCCGGTTTCAAACTCTTCTACAACTTCCTCACACATCTTTGCAGCCTTCATAGAACTGAAGAGAGTTAGGGCCTTGCTCTGGATTAGGCTTTGGCTTAAGGGAATGTTGTGGCTGGCTCAATCTTCTAACCAGACCACTCAAACTTTCTCCCTATCAGCAATAAGGCTGATTTCACTTATCATTCATATGTTCATTGGGTTAGCACTTTAAATTTCCTTCAAGAACTTTTGCTTTGTATTCACAATTTCGCTAACACTTTGGTGCATGGGGCTTTTGATCTGCCTTCTTCACTGAACTTAATCATTTCCAGCTTTTGATTTAAAGCATAAGACATGTTGGGGGTTCCTGGGTGGCTCAGGTGGTTAAGCATCCAACTCTTGATTTCAGCTCAGGTCATGATCTCAGGGTCATGAGATTGAGCCCCAAGTCGGGCTCCATGCTGGCCATGGAGCCTGTTTAAGATTCTCTCTCTCCCTCTGCCCTTCCACCTCCTCGCCCCACTCACTCTCAAAAAAAGGGGGGGGGGCACCTGGGTGGCTCAGTCATTTAAGCATCTGCCTTCAGCTCAGGTCATGATCCCAGGGTCCTGGGACTGGAGCCCTGCATCAGGCTCCCTGCTCAGCAGGGTTTCTGCTTCCCCCCTTCCCCTGCTCGTGCTCTCTCTCTCACTCACTTCTAATAAATAATTTGAAGTATGAGACATGCAACTCTTCCTTTCACTTGAACACTTGGAGGCAACTGCAGGGTTATTAATTAACCTAATTTCAAGACTGCTGTATCTCAGGCAATAGGGAGGCCCAAGAAGAGGGAGAGAGACGGGAATGGCTCGTTGGTGGAGGAGTGAGAGCACACATTCATCAATTAAGTTTGCCATCTCATATGTGTGCAGCTTGTGGTGCCCCAAAACAATTACAGTAGTAACATCAAAGATCACTCATCACAGATGGCCAAGACAAATGTCATAACAAAAAAGTTTAAAATACTGCAAAAATTATCTAAATGTGACACAGAGACACAAAGTGAGCAAATGCTGTTGGAAAAATGGCACTGATAGACTTGCTTGATGCAGGGTTGCCACAAACTTTCATTTTTTAAAAAGTGGGATATCTGCAAAGTGCAATAAAGCAAAGCACAATAAAACAAGGTATGCCTGTTCACTGCAAAAAGGAAATACATACTAGGTTGTATTAACAGCAAGTATTGAAGAAGAAAAGATTAGTGCACTTGAAAACAACGTAATAAAAGTGTCCAAAATGAAGAGGACAGAAAAAATATTTGAGGAGGTAATGGCCAAAAAAATTTCCAAATTTGCTGAAACTATTAATTCATAGATTCAAGCTCAACAAACAGAGGAGGAGGGGAAAACTGCATTAAGGAACATCATAATCAAATTGCTAAAAATCAATGATAAAGAAAAAATATTCAAAGCAGCCAAAGACTTCTCCTTTCAACCAAAATGGAGTCTTAGGAACAACAGCTTTCAAGACACAGGACATCAGGCAATAAAGGACAATGAAAGAAATCATAGGTAAGCCCTATGACTGCCCCAGGCAACTGCCTGGAAAATTTCCAGGCCAAAAGAAAGAAGAATCTGAACAGAGCCTTGGAAAAATCCAGAGCGAGTAGACAAAGCAGAGAATATAGGGAGGTCAAGACAAGAATTCATAGGACAGAGTACCAAACAGAAAAGAGCTACCCAGAGAGAGAACTATGTAGATCTGTAGGCATTCACACTGGAGAAATTCCCCTAAGTACTGATGTGCTTAAGTGTATGAGGGAATTATCCAAGGCCAGGAAAAGAACTACCCAAAAGACAGAAGAAATAGTGCAGGGAGTTCCCACAGGGCCAAGAATGGTGCCCATTTCCAAATATTCAGACTGAGAAACCTCATGATTCACCAGGCAAATGGGAGATAATTTACCATGCATCTCTGAGTGAGGAGAGGCACTGACAGCTGGTCATCTGGAATATATACTACAAACAGAAGGATGGTTACACATAAGGAAAAATCAAAGGGAAATATTAGTAGAAAAATCACCTATTCAATCTCCACAGATGCTTAAAAAACATTTCATAAAATTCAATAACCATGTTTGATAATAACAATAAATAAGAACAGATGGGGGGTGCCTGGGTGGTTCAGTCAGTTAAGTGTCTGCCCTTGGCTCAGGTCACAGTCCCAGGGTCCTAGGATTGAGCCCCGCAACAGGCTCCCTCTTCCCTCTCCCTCCGCTCCCCCTCGTCACTCCCCCGCCCCCTGCTCCCGCTCATGCTCACTCTCTTACACTCTCTCAAATAAATCAATAAAATATATTTTTTTAAAAAGGTAATAAAAAAGAACAGATGGAAACTTCCTTACATGCTATTTGCAGGTCAGTCCAAAAGCCAGTATTATGCTTAGTAATGAAATCATCCCCACTGAGTCGGGAACAAGACAAGGATATACAATGTCATAAATATGATTTAATATTGTATTGTATTTTCCAGCCTATTCATTTACAAATGAGAAGTAAATCAGAGATAAAATAATTGGAAAGCTGTAATTTAAAGTATTTCTATTTTCAGGAGTTATAAGTATTAACTGGAAAACCCCAGAGATTAAAAAAAAAAACAAACACTACAGCAACTTAAGAAATTGGCAAGACTTTTATGAAGAAAATCTTATGGAATGACAATAGAAACTGAAACAAATGGAAAGAACAAATTTGTGTTATCAACATCTTAAAGATGTCAGTAGGCCCTAATTTAATTTATAAATTTCACTTGATGCCATAAAAATTCCAATTGCTTCTTTTTTCTAACCAGAATTAAACTGATCCTAATGGGAAATTCATATGGGAAAATAAACAAACAAACAAAACAGAAAAATTCTGTAAAAGAGAAATACAGAAAAAGGAGGGGTAAGCATACCAAATATTAAAACATACTCATGTTATAAAACCTGAAAAGAGACTGGAAGATAGACAAATTAAGACATAAATCCAGAAATAAACTCAAATACATATGTGTATGTGTAACTCACACTTCACACCACAATGAAATCTAAATGAATCAAAGATATAAATGTGAAATGAAACAATATCCTAGAAAAAGCATGAGAAAATTCTTTCATTTTTTTCCCATGGGAAAATTCTTCTAGAACCTTGAAGAAGAAATACCTTTTTAATTATGACTCAAAAATCCAGAAATCATAAAAGAAAAAAAATCACTCCACTATTAAATTCTAACTTTGATCAAAATAATTGTTTAATTTTTAAGAACATCCTTATTTATATAGTTTTATACTACTTCACATTAATCTTCAAATGTCATCAATGAACATTTTACACCTTACCTTTGTATGATATTCCATAGCATCCAATTCACCTTGATTGAAAACAACACATCTTTTACGCTTCTAAAGAGTAAATTACAGGAAGAAAATTATGTTGCCATCTATCACAATGTTGATATTTGGAAATATATTAGTATTTCTTTTTTATCACATTTTCCCTAGTGTGTATCTCAGTCTTCAAGAGCTTAACCAAGTAAGCTAGTAAGGTCAGAATCAGTGAAAAGTGTATGGACTAAAGAAATAAGCTTTCCCAAATAAAAAATTACTATTTATTATTATTATTATTATTATTATTATTACAAGCTTAATAAGTGATATAAGGTCACCTAAGCCTTATCTGCTATTAACAAGAACTAGTACCAATGATAAAATGTAGCACAGACATCCATGGAACACAAGAAAACTGTGACACTGTATAAAGTTACTAGTATCATCTATCAGTTGATATATATTGTACAATCCTCAACGTCATTTCTGAGGAGATGAACTACGCATATACTATCATTAAAAAAAATCCAGTACACTTTCTTTTTTTTTTTTTTTTTTAAAGATTTTATTTATTTATTTGAGAGAGAGAGAAAACCTGAGAGGGGATAGGGTCTGAGGACGAAGCAGACTCCCTGCCGAGCAGGGAGCCCAATGTGGGACTCGATCCAGGGACTCCAGGATCATGACCTGAGCCGAAGGCAGTCGCTTAACCAACTGAGCCACCCAGGCGCCCAATCCAGTACACTTTCAATAGCTCTTTATGATTGATCTGAGGGCTAGGTACAAATCAGATATACTAACACTGTTCTGTATCTAACAACTGCATAGAAAAGAACATGTAAGACAGTGCAAAATAGAGCAAGGACTTTATACCTCTTATTGCTGAAACACCAGGGCTTACATGGTAGCATACTCCCAGCAGGCTAACAATAAATGTTTGCTGGCTGAATAAATAAATGGACTGAAGATTAAGCTAATTGTACAATTTGCCTTAGCATATCAGAATTAAGGTAAGTTTTGTCAAGATAACTCATTGCATACACCCATCTATATTTTTCCATATTAAAATGAGAAATTTACCCAACATAAGTGAAAACATTAAAAGATGCCCATACTTAGTAAACTGTAAATGCTTGTTATTATTTTTCTGAATTAGTAATAGTATTGATAAATAATCTATATACTATTTTACTGAAATATCAGACATTATATATTTTCTTTCCTATGCCTGACACACAGCAAATGGTCAATAAATATTTGTCCAAGGAAAAAAAAGACACAAGAAATTACAAGAATATTAAAAGTTCTACTTCAGGAAACTAGAACAATGTAATAAATTATCCCTATTACTTGCCTTATTTCTAATTCTCAACATGCTTTCTTATTTAATAATCTTTCCTCATGGATCTCAATTGTAAGATCCATGAGGGTACCAATAATGTTTATCTTGTTTAATCCCTGTATGTACAACAGCACATAGAAAGATCTCAAACATTTGTGGGTGAGTAATAAAGTTATTCCTATCTCTATCAAAGAAAATGTTAATATAATCTATCTGAAATGGACTTTGTATAATCATCTCTGAACTCTTCAGAAACATAAAAAGTATTAAAGCATAATTAATTTGATCCTGTATAGCATTCTTGAAACTTCACCAAAAGACTGCACCAGTGTATACACAAATACATATGCTTTAAGAACATATACAATTTTCTATAGTAGCTTTCTACTTTTATTATTAAAAACTTTATGAAATATCACCCTTCTTGCAAACTTCATTATAGGAGCTTATCCCCAAAGGACAGGTCTCTAAGAATCTCCCAAAATCCATAAGCTGCTTTAGGATTTTGCAGACAAAGCGGCACGTTGTTGAACAAAAACAGTTGTAAAAACGTGCAATTAATACAAATTGAGTAAGCAAAAAGGGTTTTTTGTTATTGTTGTTTAGTTTTGTTTAATTTACAGAGCATTCACTTTTGAGCAAACTTTGCTTACTTTTGAAATATGCAAATTTGGTCTTCTAAGAATGGTAGAACATTAGGAAAGAGTTAAAAATTACACTGGCTATAACTAAAGCCTTCCTACGCTTTATGGATTGTTTTTTAGACTTAGTAAATTAGAAGATATTGGAATAATAAACTTCTGCCTGTTCTGCAGAAAAATAAAAATGTGTTAAAACTTTCTACCTTCCCAATAATAGAAATGCGGTTTTCTTCTTTAATACCATCCATTGGATCTTCCTTTTCATTCCTTTGTTGGCATTCTTTGTGAACAGCTGGAGTTATATAAGGTTTGGTGACATTAAATAGCTCAGATCGAAAAACATATCTCTGTATGAAGATTTCACAATTTCCTCTGGCATCATTATCTGGCTTAGTGGTAGAGTCAAAAGCAATAAAGGTAGCAGAGGTTCCCAAAGAGATCAAAGAATCCGTTTGAAGAGTATCAAAGTGGACAGATGAAGTGGGCTCATTTTTACTGCAACAAGGCTTATGATGTTGGTGAAGCTGATAGTTTATGTTGTTAATGAAAGAAAGATGATCTAGTAACCATCCTGGTGACAGTTGGTGCACCACAGACATTCTCTTCTCTTAAAAAAGAAAGAAAAAAAAAACTCTGAAAATGAGAGTCTAGATGTAAAATCCAATTTTCCAGATTAACTTCTTAAATGTCCTGCATTTCAATAAAAATATACTTCACATACACAGGTAGAATTCATGTGCAAGTATATAAACTTAACATATACACAAAAGAGAATTTGACATTCATGATACGTTAAGGAAAAATGTAATGTTTTAATATAAACTTTTAATTACAGGGTTGATAATTCTAATTTTTCAGCCAATTTAGCAAAAGAGAATTAAAATGGGATCTTATTTCTGGAATCCCAATTGAATCCTCTTATCTTCCTGGGCCCTCCACACAACCTCCTGTTCGCTTTTAATCTAGCCACTAGGTCCACATCCTCCAAGTCAGGAAGTCATTCAATTCTTAAAGGTGAGCGTGTCCTGTCAAAGCAAAGAATACTACATTACCTATGTGAATTCACCCTTTTTAATGAGATAAACCTAGAGAGGTCACAGAGAGGTCAGCTCTTGTTTTTTCAAAGCACATCTGCCGCAATAAGTCAGCCCATTAACACTGCCATACTTAACCACTGCTACCAACGGAGTGCAAAAAAGCATAAAATGAAAGACTGGTCTAGGCTAACTAAGCACGATGCAATTTTAACGGATTTCAGAAGTACCAAACCCTAACAAAATTGCAAGGTTATTGGTTCTGAGCAGTCCTCCTTCAGCAACTATGTTTTTTTCAAAACTTCCTTATCTTTTTACCAAAAAAAAATGATAAAGTTCTGGGTATTACCTACTAAATCTAGTATAATGGAGAACTTAACAGGGGGACAGAATAAGTATTTAACAGCACAGCAGTAATAGCAGCATTTAGAACCAAACTTCCAACTCCATGTAGTGTTAGCAGTATGACCATAGTCAAGTTATTTACTCTCACTACAGAGTCTCAAATTCATCATTTTTTATGACATCTCAGAAGGCAGCTTAGAGAATTAAATGAGATAATCTCCATGAAGTGCTGTGCAGTGCCTGACACATAGCAACTGTTCAAACAAATGCTATTAGTGATGGTAATCCTGGTACTGGCCCTCCTTTCACAGTCACCACTTGTGGTGAGGAGGTAATGTAATGGCTAGTGAGAGCAAGAAATGTAGTCAAGAAAACTGAAACTCAGAAAAGGTGACGTGCCCAAAATTACAATTCTAGTTAACCGCAAAACTGCTCCAAGAATCAGTGTCAGGACTTTGGCTCAAAGCTTTTCTCCCACCCCCATCACTTTCCAGGTACTGGGCAGTGCATGTCTTTGAGTTCAAACTCAGGGAAGCAGGGAAGTCCTATTTTAGCAAAGTGAACTACTGTGCTTTAAACTCTCTCTCTCTCGTGCTCGCTTCGGCAGCACATATACTAAAACTCTCTCCTACCTCTCCCCTTCACACCCAAACCTCCACCCCTCACCCCCTTGGGTTCCTCGTTGGCCACCACTAGAAGACCATGGAACCCCAGCGAGCACACTGCGAACCCGAACCCTAGCGGCAGCCACACCGGCTCGATCCTCGAAGCCAGCTACACCCACACTCAGCAGTTACTATCTCCTACCTCACTGCTTCCCCTGTCAGAAAAACTGCACGACGTCTCCCAGACTTGCATCATGAGAAGCAACCCTCTAAACCGTGGTCACGAAAGACGCCACTTTCATGGCAAAGGAAATTTCCTTTTCTACGAGCCAACGGGCGCGGCCATGTTGCTGTACGGAAAAGACGTTTCCAGGGCGACTTGGAGAGCTCTGTCAGCTACTCGGAGACGTACAGCGCTCGTCTCTTCGGCACTAACTTTAGAAATCCGACCAGACTTTGTAGGAGCCGCTCACACTTACCAGAGATGCCAGTGTGCTGAGCGAGGCGACAGGACGCCAGCAACACGCAGAATCCCCGCGACGGGGAGCGGCGCGCAGGAGATGAGCACGCGTTCGACGTACGTGGTGATGTAGACGCCGGCGGAGATTTTAAAATTCGAACTGCGCCGGTGGGTGGAGGGAGGAGTTGGGTGTTTTGGCGGCTGTTGTCCTGCCGGGTGAGTAGTTGCACAGGTTACAGAAATTCGGTCCCTGGGTTGTGTCAGGAAACTGGAAGAAAGGTAACTAATGACTTTGAGTTAATTTTGTGCCGGCAGAAGTGTTCTCAAGGGAGAGAGCGATGGCGCCAACACCGTAGATTTAGAGGCCCTGACAACGTTTTAGTCTACTATTCTGAGAGGCCTCCGGGCCGAGTCTGTGCGAGGCGCCAGTTTCCCGGAGTACAATAAATTTCTACTGACAGTGACTTCCAAGGGCGAAGAGGAGGACCTGGGGGCACACTGGTAGGGAGCAGAGAGTCTGGAGGGAGGAATTGATGGGAGCAGGGACAGGAGGGACAAGATGAAGAACTGTTTGAGGTGTGGCGTTTGAGATACTAGTGGGTGTGTAGGAAAGTCTTAATCTTAAATTACATTTTAAGTGGAGATTTGGAGTGCACATATAGGTGGATGGGAAAGTTGAATGGATAGCAGAAATGTATAAAGTAAAAGAAATAGGTGGCCAAGCCAAGATAGAAAGCGTGTAATCAGGTTAAAAGACAAAGGAGAGCGCAGAGAAGTGACAGGATAATCACAAATGTCCACTTCGCTGGAAACCAAGACAGAACTTGAGAGATCTAGGTGTGTAGTGTCTAATGCCAAAAGATGAGATAGGATCAAAAGATTTGTCAGTCATGAGTATTCTAGGAGGCAACTGTTTCAGTAGGTATGAAGGAAATGAAATGTTAATTTTCTGAGACATAAACTGTAGACCATTTTGTGGACCATATAATTGATCCTTGCTGGAAGGGAGATTGAAGTAAAAGGGGCACTAATTTAATATAAATGGGAAACAGTGGGTTAAGGACAGAGCAAGAGGGATGGACGTTAGGAAAAGAAAACAGAATAGCTGTATTCTCTAAGACCAAAGTAAAGGAAACATCTTGAGGTAGTTCTTGTCAGATAGCCTCTGACTTTCCCAATGAAAAGGTGCAGCCAACAGCAGTAAGGTGATCTGGGTTAGGTTTCAGGGCTTTAACTGCTGAAGATATGTGAAGGCAGAAATTATACCTTATTTATCATTGTGTCATTTCAATTGCCTTGCACACTCAGGTGTACATGGTAGGCAGTTAGTAAATATTCGTGTGTGTTGAATATTTTTAAATGAGGTTAAATACACATTCCCTGCAAATGAGAACTTCACCTTATATGAACAAAAGGGCCCAGGAAAAGATTATCTTGAAGGAACAGTGGAACTTGGCTGCTTTCTGTTTGAGGATGAAGATAACAGTTGGTGCTTAATGTAGCATCTATATCTGGAAAGATGTTTTAATACTGAATTCATGAATGCAGGTAGTAAGAATGAAGCGCAGTTCAGTTTCCACCGGTGGTGCTGGCCGCCTCTCCATGCAGGATTTAAGGTCTCAGGATTTCAATAAACAAGGCCTCCATACCCCTCAAACGTAAGTACCTCATGCGTTACCATTTTGGACAAAGAAATCTGTAAAGATGATTAACACAAAAATGTACTATGAGTGATGTTCTTATGAATCTTGTTTGTTCACAGTGGTACCTAATTTGGGTTAATGAAGGCTAAAAATTGGCATGTTATTAGGTGTGTTTTATCTCATTTGTTCCTTAAATTTCCAAAGCTACATACTTTGCCCAGCAACCCCTAAAAAGGATTGTTAATTCCCTTTCAGCACTTTTTCTTATTTTCCTCCTTTATTCTAGACCTGCTTATGTGAGCAGGCTTGTTGCTAGAACTTTGAATTTACTGAAGTATATCCAATTGGCAAAATTGTCAGAGTTATTACTTACTTGCTCAATGATAAGCTGCAGTTTAGAAGAAACTACAGAACACTTCTCCAAACTGTTTTCTCAGTATTCACTGGAAAGGGGTATTAATTATACTATCATAAACTAGTTTTTCTCTGTGAGTTTGTTCTAATTAAGAGAAGGCTGTTTGTAAGCCACTGAGGGCTATATCAATCCTCTGATACCAAGGTACAAGTTAACTGCTAACTATACTTAAATTACTTAGGTGTACATTGTATAAGCCTCAGCTACTTTTAGAAATTTGAATTATTTGTGTCTTTAACTTCTGAAATCAGAAATTTTTTGTATTGTTACACATTACATGCACTAAAACATTTATGCCTTGAATTATATTGAAAACTAAAAGGCTGCCATTGGCAATGTTTTAGGTTTGTTTTTTACATAATGTATGTTCTTAGGTGGAGCTGCATTCTAATAGAGTAGGCCTTAAAAGAAAATTGTTAAATGTAGCTATCCTATGATTGAAGATACCTATCTTTAAATTTTTTTCCTTTAAGGTTATCCATAAATGTACATATGTTAAAATGATTGAAATGAGAATGTAGATATGGTTTTTTTCTGCTTTCTTCTTAACATTTTAGCATTATTATTCGTGCATGTTGTTAGCCTATCCCATTGTAACAGCTGTGATTGCTACTAAAAATTTTCATGATTCTGAATTATTTTTATAGGTACTGGGAAAGAGGTGCTAGTTCCAACATATTTCCAAAAATTTCTTAAACTAATATTTTTTTATATTTATTTTTTAAAGTTTGTTCTTTTCATTTTGTTAAAGCAAAGAGAAACCAGCCTTTGGAAAGTTGAATATAAACAAACCCACATCTGAAAGAAAAGCCTCTGTGTTTGGTAAAAGGTAATGATATTTTTTATTAGTTTTAATGAAAGGATTCTTAAAAAAATAGGATGGCATGATTCCCTCACAAAAGAAAGTTAAAAGCTAGCTTTCTTCCATTTTAAATGGTGAAATGGTTATATCTGTTTTAGATAGTGCTAAGAGACATATCAGCACATTCAGACCACTATTTCATGTTATAAGTGAATAGTTGATTGAAAATTCTACACCTAGCTTTCAGATAGTATGGAATCATAGCATTTTAAAATTCGGAGGAACCATCATCTAGTTCAACAATTTAGTCCCAGGCTTTTTTATACTCTTAAATATTAAGATTCCAAAGAGCTTTCATTTTGTGGGCTGTATTTATGGATATTAACAATATTAGAAATTAAAACTGGAAAGTTTTTAATTATGTATTCATTGAATGTAAAATAATAATAACCCCTTACGTGTTAACAAAAATAACATACCTTTAACGTAAAAGAATTTTTTTTCCCAAAAACAACTATTTCAGTAATAAAAGTGATGTTGTTTTACATTTTTGCAAATCTCTTTAACATCTGGCAAAATAGAAGATAGCTAGCTTCTCATATCAGCTTCCCATTCAGTCTGTTAAAATATCATACATCATGTAGCCAACCTCTGAAAAACTCCAGTGTACACTCATGAGAAAATGAGAATGAAAGGGGCAAATAACATCTTAGTTTTTCAGCATGAAAATAGCTTTGTCTTCTCAGATCCCCAAGATCACACTTTGAAAACCACTGTCTAGCATAGATCAGTGTCGCCTGTGCTGAAGGTGGGGCAAGGATTGAATGTTAAGGAGTAAAAAACTTTTGCGATGATGAAAATGTTCAATATCTTTATGTCTTCATTGTGGCAGAGATTGCACAGGTATATACGTTGTCAAACCTCATCATACTGTACACTTTAAACAGGTACATTTTACTCTAAGCAAATTACACCTCAATAAAATTTATTTTTTAAGGAATGATCAACCCCAAAATTGAAAAAATAATTTGTTCTTTTATCTCACCAAAACAAAATATAACTGTTTTAAGGCAAACCTGTTCAATTGTTTTGAAAATATTTAGAGATGAAATGTTTGTTACCTTAGAAAAGTCTTTGCCTTGAAACCAAATTAAGCTCTTTCTGATATTCATTCCAGTTGGTGAAAAATCTTAAGGCATTTTTGTAATCTAACTCTTCTCTCAGTGGTGAACTTCACAGATAATGATGATAATTACTATAAAATCTAACATTTGCTGAGCATTTTTATAAGCCAGACGTTGTTATAAGTGCTTTGTCTGTATTAACTCTTTTAATCAATCCTCAGAACTGCCCTATGAATAGATACTATTATTGTATCCATTTTATAGAAAAGGAATTGAAGCACAGAGAGGTTAAGTAATTTTAAGACAGAATTTGAAACCACAGACTCTGATTCTGGACCCTGTGCTCTTAAGCTATAAATTGAATGATGCAGTATTTTGACTGGTTAGGAAATTCTCGTATAATTTAAAGATTTTATTCATTTATTTGAGAGAGAGAATGAGATAGAGAGAGCATGAGAGGGGGGAGGGTCAGAGGGAGAAGCAGACCCCCTGCCGAGCAGGGAGCCCGATGCGGGACTCGATCCCGGGACTCCAGGATCATGACCTGAGCCGAAGGCAGTCGCTTAACCAACTGAGCCACCCAGGCGCCCTTTTTTTTAAAGATTTTATTTATTTATTTCTCTTATAATTTAAAAAGATATCTAACAGTGCAGTTCTGTGTAGAATAAGAGCTGAGTCTATACATGTATTCCTTTTGGGTAAAAAAAAAAAAAAATTAAAGATTAAGTAATAGCAGTATGTAGAAAAGTGGTTCTCAAATTAGCAAATTCTCAGGGGAGAAAATAGCCAATCTGGGCTGTGGAGTGAGAGGGCCCAAGCTAAAGAACTTTTAGAGCATTGGCAGGAGAGAAGTTGAAAGCAGTAAGCAAATTTGCAGGGACAAATAGAACTCTGATGAACAGAGTTCAGATATTACAGCAGTGTTCATTGCAACTCAGTTTTGTGGCATCTGTTCAATAAGGAAAATTGTTATTCTAAGGATATTTAATAAACTGCAGTTGGTAGCTAAATCAGGCCACAAAGTTAGGCAAAAGAAACCATTATAAAAATACAAACAAATTAAGTTTTGTTTTGCAGAGGAAGGGCTTAAAATGGAGTACATATGTTTTATCCATTAATGACTAAAAAGTTGCACCATGTAAATTTATAGTAAATAGCAATCAGATACATAGGGGCACCTGGGTGGCTCAGTCGTTAAGCGTCTGCCTTCGGCTCAGGTCATGATCCAGGGTCCTGGGATCGAGCCCCACATTGGGCTCCCTGCTCCGCGGGAAGCCTGCTTCTCCCTCTCCCACTCCCCCTGCTTGTGTTCCCTCTCTCACTGTCTCTCTCTCTCTGTCAATAAATAAATATTAAAAAAAAAAAAAAATCAGATACATAATATTGCATGACACAAAAACGTTTAAGAGAAAAAGCATACACTGCCCATTTTAACATCTCAAAAACAATTTTCCCGCAAGAAATGATGGCAAATGAAAGGGTTAGGAGTGAAGGAGCAATCGTGGAAGGCTAAATAGGATGGCGAAAGGACTTGGGTTACTGAATAGACTTGGAGAATGGTTGTACAGAAGATCTAGTGGACTCAAAATACACTCTTAGGTGATAGTGGATGTGTTAGGAATGCAATGCACCACAGTGCATTTTTCTTCCTACCTCATTTTATAGTTATCATTATTTGCTCTTTTTCTCTGCTTTGAATAAGAGAAAATAATTGAACTTTAATGTTTGTTGCTGCTAGTAAAATATAAAATCACCTTGAAATAATTTAGACTTGACCACAGACTGAAATAGTTTTGACTGTTTATATTTCCAGAACTAGTGGACATGGATCTCGGAATAGTCAATTTGGTATATTTTCCAGTTCTGAAAAAATCAAGGACCCACGACCACTTAATGACAAAGCATTCATTCAGCAGTGTATTCGACAACTCTGTGAGGTATTTTATATTCTCTTAAGTATTTTCCAGTAATTTTTCTATTATAAAATGTTTGATGTTTCTTAAAAATTATTGTAGTTTCTTACAGAAAATGGTTATGCATATAGTGTATCCATGAAATCTCTACAAGCTCCTTCTGTTAAAGACTTCCTAAAGATCTTCACTTTTCTTTATGGCTTCCTGTGCCCTTCGTATGAACTTCCTGACACAAAGTTTGAAGAAGAGGTTCCAAGAATCTTTAAAGATCTTGGGTTTGTATGTTATATTTCTTATTAGCCTTAAGAGATTGTAGGAACACAGAGAAGAATCAGACTCAATTGATTTGTAAAGATTCTGAGTGAGAGAAATCATATATTTTAAGATGGTCACTGTGGGCAGTATATCTTAGGATAAATTTAAAGGCAAGAAAAACCACTGTTTGGAGGTTATTCCTGAACTGTAGAAGATAGTTCATAAGGCTTTCCAAATACTGAAGTGACGAGGAATAGCTAGGATGGACTGGATACCACAGATTTAATAGAAGCAAAAAAGACAGGATTGGCGGCCTGGAGAAAATGGGGTGGGATGAAGTCAAGAATGGCTGTGTAGAGTAAACACGGGAAGGAATGGATTTGAGGATGAAGAGTATACACATGTGGCTTATTTGGAGTACATTGAATTTGAGGGAACAAACAATTTTTTAGGAGAGGAGTCCAACATACTGGTTGTAAATCAAGTTCTGCAGTGTTAGGGATATACGTACAAAGAGAAGAAACCAAAAAATACACAAAATCATTTCAGAGTAAGATGACCAAGAACAAAATCTTAATAAATATCTTCTAAACAAGTCAAGACTGTTGGTATATATGTGGAATTTTTCTAATGTAACTTGCCTAATTTAGTCTTATTTTCACAAAATTAACATTGTTGGCTTCTATTTTTTTTCCTAACTTTTCATAGGTATCCTTTTGCATTATCCAAAAGCTCCATGTATACAGTGGGGGCCCCTCATACATGGCCACATATTGTGGCCGCCTTGGTTTGGCTCATAGACTGCATCAAGGTATTTGATTTTTCATTTTAAAATGTATATATAGGAAAGATTTTTTTTTTTCCTTGAGATAGTATTATTTCTCTCTCAGTCTGTCTTTTGCCAGTTATCTTAAAGTCTACATCTGTTTTCATTTTTCAAAGCACATTTGATTTTAAATTCTTCAGACTATTAACAAATGCTTCTCGAGGTGAGAGGAATTACCACATTGGCAAGGAAATTATTTGTTTTTGCGAGGTTTTAAAGCTTTAAAAAAAAAAGTAGGAAATTATTTCCCCCATTATATACATAACATTACTTTGGTTTTTTTCCCTTTTTTAATTAAAATCCATATGCATTGCAAAAAGTTTTGGAAAATACAGAAATACACAGAAAGTGATATACCCATAATCCCACAACTCAGAGACAACAATTTAAAACATTTCCTTGGGCTATAGTTTTAAAGGTGCCTTTTTTGCTGCACAAATTATGTGGGTTTTTCTTTTTAACTTTTGATATATATATTGACAAATTTCCCTTCAGAAAACTTGCACCAGTTAAAAGCTCCTCAGCAATGTATGAGCATATGCATTTTCCGAAAACATTGTTTTAAAATCTTTACCATTTGAAAGGTGAAAAAATAGCTTGTTTAATATATATATTATTAAAGCAATTGTCTTTTTGTATGGTTTGTCATTGATATTTCTTGTGGGTTTTTTTGGTCCTATTATGTATATTTTAATCTTTATAAATTAAACTGCTTATATATTAAGTTTATCAATATTTTAAATGAACAAGTGAAAACTTTTTCATATTTGCAATCTTTTTCTCAACTTGAACATATTTCACACTTATTACAACTGCCTATTTGTGTCTTTTGCCATTTTTCTATTTTCTTATTGATTTGTAGGAGCACCAAAAAGAGTCAAACTGGGGTAATTAGCTCGTATGGATATGGTACAAATATTTTTTCCCTTTTGATTTATGTGCTGTATTTTGACTGTTGAGAAATACAGATCTTTATCTAGTCTAATTCAGTCTCTCATAGTTTCCGAGTTCCTGTCCTTAGTGCTGGAATCCTTAAAACTAATACTGTCCTCCTGACATTCTCTTGTCCATTGACAGTCCCTTAACAAAATATAGGCAGGCACTAAGTGGATGGATTTTTGACCCAGAAGACATCTCAGTACTTTCAGCACCACCATTGTCAAGATAAGAGTAGAAATCCAATACCATTTTACTGAACTTAATGTATAACATCTGTGCATTCAGTTTGTCTCTCCTCAGCGATATCCATCGACATTGGGTAACTACCTCTCTTTTCCCACCACCAAATACTCCTGTTGTCAATAGAACACTTTACCCTTGTTTCACTAAACAACTTATGTCATTCTTTTGTGGTTAGGAGACAGCATTTCCACAGTGATGCAGGAGCTCATGGAGTACCTGCTTTGGCTTCTGTTGGGGAGGGACCTCTTGAGATGCCTCCAACTCTATTATATAGGTTGAAATTTCCTCTTTGCTATCTTGGTTTGCTTGAGGTGGTAGAACTGAACACTATAAGAATCAATGAGAGATTGTAAGAATCAATGAGACATCATAGGTTTCTTGTTCTAATTATCTTTCCCACTTAACAGAATCCTAAAAATTTAGCCAGATTTAGGATGGCCTCCTTTAGTCTCTGATGTTAAAAAAAAAAAAAAAAAGATTCTTCCACTTTTTTACCTATTTTTATTACTTCTTTGTATTTAAATAATCTTTATTGTTTCCTTCGTTCTGCTAACTTTGGACTTACTTTGGTCTTTCTAGTTTCTTGAGGTGTAAATTTAGGTTCTTATTTAGGATCTTTCTGTTTCCTTGATGTATGCATTTATAGCTACAAACTTCCCTCTTTAAGCTGCTTTTGCTACATCCCATAAGTTTGATATGTTGTGTTTCCATTTTCATTTGTCTCAAGATACTTTTTCATTTCCCCTTCAATTTCTGATTTGTTACATTGGTTGTTCATGAGAGTGATGTTTAACTTCCATGTTCCCATGACTTTTCCACTTTTCCTCCTATTGTTGATTTCTACTTTCATACCATTTTGGTTAGAGAAGATACTTGGTATGACTTCTTCTTTAATCATACTAAGACTTGTTTTATGACTTAACATATGATCTCTCCTAGAAAATTTTCCTTGTACTCATGAGAAGAATGTATATTTTGCTATTGTTGGATATGTTTTATATATGTCTGTTGAGTCCATTTGGTCTGTAGTGTTGTTCAAATTGCTATTTATTTATTCTCTGGATGATCTCACCATTGTTAAGAGTGTGGTATTAGGGGCACCTGGGCGGCTCAGTCATTAAGCGTCTGCCTTTGGCTCAGGTCATGCTCCCAGGGTCCTGAGATCAAGCCCCGCATCGGGTTCCCTGCTCCGCGGGAAGCCTGCTTCTCCCTCTCCCTCTCCCTCTCCCCCTGCTTGTGTTCCCTCTCTCGCTGTGTCTCTCTCTGTCAAATAAATAAAATCTTTAAAAAGAAAAAAAATTTTTTAAAAAAAGGAGTGTGGTATTAAAGTCTTCCAACTATTATTGTATTGCTGTTATTTCTTTTTTTTTCTTTATTTTTCCTTTTTTCTTTTTTTTTTTAAAGATTTTATTTATTTGACAGAGAGAGACACAGCAAGAGAGGGAACACAAGCAGGGGGAGTGGGAGAGGGAGAAGCAGGCCTCCTGCGGAGCAGGGAGCCCGATGTGGGGCTCGATCCCAGGACCCTGGATCATGACCTGAGCCGAAGGCAGACGCTTAACAACTGAGCCACCAGGCGCCCCTGCTGTTATTTCTTTTAGTTCTTTTAGTATTTGCTTTATATATTTAGGTGCTCCCATGTTGGTTGCATAAATATTTATAAATGTTTTATCTTCTTGATGGATTGACCCTTTTATCATTATATAATGACCTTTGTCGTCTCTTTCTACCACTTTTCATTTTTTGGTTTTTTTTAAGATTTTATTTATTTATTTATTAGATAGAGCACAGCAGGTGAGAGGGAGAGGGAGAAGCAGGCTCCCTGCTGAGCAGGGAGCCCGATGCGGAACTCGATCCCAGGACCCTGGGATCATGACCTGAGCCGAAGTCAGAGGCTTAACAACTGAGCCCTCCATATCCCTCTACCACTTTTCATTCAAAGTCTATTTTGCCTGGTATATCTTTTTCATCCCTTCACTCTCAGTCTGGATCTCTAAAACTAATGTGAGTCTCTTGTAGGCAGCCTATTTTTGGATCTTGTTTTTGTCCATTCAGTCATTCTGTGTCTTTGGTTGGAAAGTTTAATCCATTTACACTTAATTATCCATTGATAAGGACTTACTGCCATTTGTTCATAGTTTTCAGACCATTTTGTAGATCTGTTGTTCTGCTTGGTTCTTATTCTACTATCTTCTTTTGAAATTTGATGATATTTGGTATCAGCATACTTTGACTATCATTTTTATGTATCTATTTCATGTTTTTCCCTTGTAGTTATCATAAGACTTACATAAAATATCTTTAAAACTATAACATTCAGGGTGCCTGGATAGTTCAGTCGGTTAAGCGTCCAACTCTTGATCTCCGCTCAAGTCTTGATCTCAGGGTCATGAGTTCAAACCCCACATTGGGCTCCATGTTGGGTGTAGAGCCTAATTTAAAAAACAAAAACAAAAATAACAGCTATAACATTCTATTTTAAACTGATAGCTTCAATAACATTCATAAATTTTACACTTTCACTTCTCCCTTTTACATTTTAGGTTATTGATGTTACAGTTTACATACTTTTTTATATTGTGTTTCCAATAACAGGTTATTGATGTTACAGTTTACATACTTTTTTATATTGTGTTTCCAATAACAGGTTATTGATGTTACAGTTTACATACTTTTTTATATTGTGTTTCCAATAACAGGTTATTGCAGTTATAGTTCTTTTTAATACATTTATTTTTTAACTATTAAGCTAGAGTCATAAGTGAATTACACACCACCATATTAGAAAAGCAGACTTTGTATGTTTATTGTTACTAGTGAGTTTTACATTACCTTCATATGTTTTTACAATGTTAATTAGCACCTTTTGCTTCCACTCAAATAACTCCCTGTAACTTTCCTTGTAAGGCAGGTCTTGTGGTGGTGAACTCCCTCAGCGTTTATTTTGGAAAGTCTATATCTCTCCTTCATTTCTGAAGGGCAGTTTTGCCAGATACAGTATTTTGGGTTGACGGTTTTTTCCTTTCAGTATTTTAAATATGCCATCCCTTTCTCTCCTGGCCTAAAAAGTTTCTATTGAGAATTCCACGAATAGTCTTATGGGGGTTTTCTTGTATGTAACTTCTCCCTTCTCTCTTGCTGCTTTCAAAATTCTTTGTCTTGATTTTTGACAATTTAATTTTAATATGTCTCAACATAGCCCTGTTTGGGGTCCTGTGGGCTTCGTGGATCTGGATGTCCATTTTTCTTCCTACATTTGGGACTTATTGCTTTAAGTCTCCTATTGCTTTATACTTTCTTTTTATACTTTATACTTTCATCTCATTGCTTTAAGTCTCTTATTGCTTTATACTTTCTGTGCCTTTCTCTTTCTCTTCTCTTTTTGAGATTCCCATAATGCAGATACTGTATCATTTGATGATGATCCATAAGTCCCATAGGCTTTCTTCACTCTTTTTCATTCTTTTTTTCTGTTTCTGTGACTGGATAATTTCAAATGTCCTGTCCTCTAGCCCACTGACTACTTTTTCTGCATGGTTGACTTTGCTTTGGAAGTTCTCTGTTTAATTCTTTAGATCAGTCTTTTTTTTTCAGCTCTCATTTGTTTGATTCTTTTTTTTTTTTTAATTTCTCTTTGTTGAATTTCTTGTTTTGTTCATACATTGTTTTCTAATTTTGTTTAGTATGTTCTTATAGTTTACTAAACATCTTTGAGAGGATTATTCTGAATTAGTTCATAGATCTCCATTTCTGTAGGGTTAGTTATTGGAGCTTTATTAGTTTCCTTTAGTAGAGTCATGTTTACCTTATTTTTCATGATCCTGATTCCTTATGATGGTACCTGCAAATTTGAGTAAGTGGTCTCTTCTTCCACATTTGACAGGTTCTCTTTGGTAGAGACAGTTCTTTACCAGTCAGCTCAGATGGGGGTTTAGATGTATCAGCTGGTAACGTACTTGGGCAGGTGGGGCTTATATCAGGGTTTAGTTTTGGGAAAGGTCACTGCCCAAGCTGTGAGGTTAGGGGAGAGGGGGAAGTGCTACTGTCTGAGAACGGTTCCCTGCCCAAATGAGATTATAGGTTAGGCGCCACGATCTCCTGGATAGTTGGGACTGAGTACCATACTCAGCAATAGGCAGTGCTGTAAATTAGCTTCCCTGCCCTCATGGTGCAACAGAACAGCCCCAAAGCCTGCATGGCTTGTTTAGAGTCACAAACCAATGGTATGAGTATGTGCTGAATTCCCTGAATAGAAGGAGCCACCACTGGTTTTGCTCTACATACAAGGAAGGCCATGAGCTGTGCTCTCCAAATGTCACTGTAAGTAGGGCTGTAGGATGGGCTACACAGCATCGCATATGCTCTGGTTAGGTTTCCTGGTCAGGCAGGCTGAAGGCTGTAAAAAGCAGCAGGCAAAACTGCAATTTAGTTTCCACACCTGGGAGGGGGCCCTCATACATGCTTCAAGATTAGAAAGGCTCTTGTTTGGGGTTCAAATTAAGCGGAACTCCAAATTCCCTGGCCTAACAAGGCCACCATCCCAGCCCTGCAGATGATAGGGCCACCAGCCAGACTCTCCACTCCAATGCCACTCTAATCAGAGTTGTCAGGTAGGTTACACATATACCCAGGTGCTCTGGTTAGGTTTTTCTGGTCAGGTGGGCCTGGAGACTGTATTCAGCTTTGGACAGCACCATAAATTATCTTCCCTGTCCCCCTGGAGCTTCAGACCAAGCCTCATGACCAGCAAGGCTTTTTGGGAATCAAATCAGAGAGAATTGCATGCTTAACTCCCCAGATAACAGGGCTACTGTCTTGGGTCTGCAGAAGCAGAGCCACTGAGCAGGTTCTCCACTCAACTGCTGCTGTACCTGGGGCTAGAGGGTGAGCTATTGAGATTCCCATGAGCTCTGGTAAGGTTTCCTGATTAGCAGGGTTGGAGGCTATATTCAGCAGTGGGCAGGGCTATGGATTAGATTCCCTACCAGAATGGAGTAAAGAGACAGAACAGACCCCAAGACTGGCAAGATTCTTCTCGGGAAGCTAATCAGGCAAACCTGGGCACCAGACTCCAGCCAGATGGGGTTGCTGACTTGGCTCTGCAGATGATCAAAGCCCCAGCCGAGCTCTTTTCAACTGTTATATGAGTCTTATATGAGTATCTTTGGAATAGGAAAGAAGTAGATATGGCAAGCAACTCCGGGCTAAGAACGTAGGAATCTGATATGTAAGTCCTAGGATAAGAAAAATTAATGAAATATTTTTAGCAGAAACTGCATTCTCCTTTTCATTCCTAATGCATGGTGCTTTTCTTAGAAGCTTAGTGTGCATTATACTAGATATACATTTACATCTTTACATTTCATATCAGTTTCATTTACACTCTAGTTATTTTTTCATGTTTGGAAGGTGGTATTTTTAAAACAATTTATAAGGGCGTCTGGGTGGCTCAGTTGGTTGAGCGGCTGCCTTCGGCTCAGGTCATGATCCTGGAGTCCCGGGATCGAGTCCCATGTCGGGCTCCCTGCTCAGCAGGGAGTCTGCCTCTCTCTCTGACCCTCCCCCCTCTCATGCTCTCTATCTCATTAAAGAAAAAAAAAAAAAAAAATTATAAAAACAGGTGCTCCAAAATGGAATTTATTTGCCTTAAAAACCTTTAGCAATTTTCCTTTATAAACATCTGACTGTTTTTGCTGTAATGTATTATCACTTTCAAGCTTAAACAATTCTGTTTCTGAGTATTTCATATTGTAACGAATCTGAAGTTCATTTTATACACACTGAAGCAGTCTGTGGATAACATTTAAGCACCAAACTTGAGTTCATAGAAAAGAAATAATCCTTTTTGGTTCACCTTTTATGTGGCAGTTTTTTTTTTTTAGATTCTCAGAGTTGCATTAAAATGTGTGTATATGCTCTTAATGAATTAATAGTAGCATAAAGATCAGCATATTTAATAGAACTAAATATGGAATCCATCCTTTTTTAATTCTAATGGATTTAGTTACTAAAATATTAGAAGGATTACATTTTAATGCTCAATAAAATGACCTCTCTAGAGACTTTGTCATGCAGTAATGTAAATGCTTCTAAAAATGACACTAAAACAAATGTTACAAAACATGAAAGCTATGTGTTTTTCTCACATTTTATCAACTTAAATATGTTGCTTGTGTACTTACTAGTTACATAATGCCATGAAAGAAAGCTCACCTTTATTTGATGATGGACAGCCTTGGGGAGAAGAAACTGAAGATGGAATTATGCATAATAAGGTACCTTACATTACCACGAACATTATAGTTATCTTGGTATTATTAACTGTGTAACTATTGAAATTAATATAGTCGGGCGCCTGGGTGGCTCAGTGTCTGCCTTTGTCTCAGGTCATGATCCCAGGGTCCTAGGGCAAGCTCTGCCCCAGGCTCCCTGCTCAGCAGGGGCTCTGCTTCTCTCTCTGCCCCTGCCCCCGCTTGTGCGTGCACGCGCACGCACGCACTGTCTCTCTCTCTCGCAAAAATAAATAAAAATATTTTTTAAAAAAAGAAATTAATATACTCTTTAGTGGAGTCTTTTTGCTTCCCAAAAAACTTCTAAAATTGAATTTTTTTTAACATAAATAGATTTATTCTTGGAATCACATTGTCATTTCTTAAAATTAAGTAGGCATAGAAATTTAAAATGGTAACTAAGTGGGCCACTTGGGTGGCACAGTTGGTTAAGTGTCCAACTCAGGTCATGATCTCCGGGTCATGGGATCAGGTCCCGCATCTGGCTCCACACTCAGCTTGGATTCTGCTTGAGACTTTTTCCCTCACCCCTGCTCCTCCTCTCACATGTGCAGCCACATGCTTGCGTAGTCACTCGCTCTCTCTCTCTCTCTCTCTAAAATAATCTTTTTTAATAAAATGTTAAGTAAGTAAAAAATGCACGGAAATTGGAATTAAATCATAACATGTTACTGTTTTGTATATAAATGTAACATTTCTTTTCTCCCGTACCTTTTAGAATGAAGATATCAATACTGGCAACATAAGTCTTTGAGTCTTAAATATTACATGTGGGTCTTATGTTTTGTTTTGGCCTTTTATTTAGGCATATTACCACTTAGATCTGAGTTACCACTTCCAAAAGGGATTGAGATAAAAGTAAACATGGTCTAAGTTGGTTCCCAAGCCATACTTTATTGGAGCCTAAACTATGTAACTGACCCCACCCTATTTCCTAAAATAAGCAAATTTATGTGTCTAAATAGAGCAAACACCAACTCCAAGGAATAGATTTATAATATTGAGGTTAAACATTAATGTGCCCTAGCACATGTAAAAGATCGATCACCATGCATGTCCCTAAAAAGAAAAACTATTTTCTGTGCTAATTCTAATCTACACTCTTTGGAGCATTTGACATTAAAAAAAAAAAAAAAAAAAAAAAGTGGCAAAGAACTTTAGTCTCATTTTTTATTACTACTTTTCATTACTTTTTTTTTTTTTTTTTAAACAGAGTAACCATACCTTTTACTATTTCAGCAATGTCCCCTGCTGGAGAAGCAGTTAGAAAGCCTTTGATCCTACTCTTGAGAGAACTCTCCTCCCATGTTGCAATATGTGCACTGGACTAAATTTATCTGTACCTCATTTTGCAGCCAAATACAACACTTGTTAAATATTAAATTTTTTGACGTTTATCCTACAGGTTAAACCAGTAAGTTATTCTTGCTATTTTAGCTATTATTTCAAATAACAATATAAAGGGCAGCACTTTGGAAATTATAAAGTGCTGCTCTGTATAGAATATTATAAAAAAATATTTTAAAGAAGGTTATCAAAGTGCCCAATTTCACCAAATTATGAGCCTCACCTTTGTGGATCCAGAAACTCAATTTGTTAGTAGCAGAGCATTTGACTGCAGAAATTTAATTTGTTTTTTAATCTGCAAAATCAAAATTAACAAAGCTTAAACTGATTCACTGTCACCAAATTCACAAGAGACTGATCTGAAATAGAATGAAAATGTATTATTTTATCATCAGTGGTATACCTTTCCAGTTACAGGAATACTCATACTGCCTATTCAGGGTAACCTTTCCATATCAACCAAGTAATACAAAGGTTGGTTAGTTGGCGGAGAATCAGCACAAAGGGAATTGGTTTGTCTTGAGGGATATTTATTTATCAGCCATCCTCACCTCCTGACAAAGCATGCATCTTCAGTGACCGAAACACCTCATAACTGCAGAATATAGTGTTACTTTCTCTTGGATAAATATTAAGAATGCTAATATTCTGCTATTTGGATCTCTACTAACCATGCCATTTTTTTAGACTGAAGTTACAGTGTAACTATAGCCTTCATTCTGATTTTCACAGCTAGACTTAGTTTAATTGGACTTAGATCATCATCAGTTCATTTAAGTTTTTCATAAGGTTGATTGCATAAAGATGAATGTGCATTTTATGTTGAATTATATTTATTAATAAGCTTCCTTGTTTGACCTCAAAATTCTGGAGGTATGGTTTCTTTACCGTTTACTAATTTTAACCTTTATCCAAATTTAAGTGTTCTTTATTATCCTCATTCACATTAGAAGTAGCAGACGGAGTAAGTCTGTGCAGCATAATTAATTATATATCCTAGGTTTGTGTCTCATTTATAGTTCTTATAACTACTTAGTATTCCTGACTTTTTTTTAATTCAAATTTAAATTTTCACTTAGAAAAATGAAACAAACTAAATAGAGAATAATAGCTTTTTTTCCTTAATGTGCTTAACCCAATCAGTTGTTTTTGGACTACACCATAAAATGCTATGAGAGTTTCATGACTGGTGCTGACAGTTTTGAAGAGATGAATGCAGAGTTGCAGTCAAAGTTGAGTAAGTGTTCTCATTCCTAGTGTGCTTGCTTAGTCATGTATTAAACTCTGTTCGTGGAGTTGTAGCTCATTTTACCACACCCAGTGTTTATATGAGCTACTCTAAATGTGTTGGATGCCTACTAATTTTTGTCTTCATTGTTTCTTTGGTGAAGAGAAGTGATAGTTAAGCAGAAGAATACCAATTTTGGAGTCAGACCTGAGGCAAAACCTCTTCCTGGCTACATGACTTTAATAGATTACTTAACCTGTCTAACAAAGTTTTGCAAGATTAGGTGGCCATGTACATAAAGTATCAAACACACTACCAGGAACACAGAAGATAATCAGCGAATGTTATTCCTATGATATTCTTGCTTTACTGTTTGAGAAATTAAAGTACCAATTAATCAAAAGACCTAAGGTCCCTTCAAAATGTGTGGCACACAGTTAATGGACTATTATATTTCCAAAGAAAGAAATTGTTTATGTTTCCACTCTATTTTAACCTAGGGACATTCAGTGTTTACTAGCTAACTCTAAAATGTTCCAGAGGAATTAATTTAATTGTTTTTTTCTTTTATTGAAATAGTCTTATATGTAAAATGGTAGAATGGTGGGTAAAACAGATAAATTTAAGATGTGTAAAACTGTTTCTCCAATGAAATCAATCAAAACAGGAGACTATCACCTTGCCAGTATTGGCACAAAAGGTAAAAACATTTCTCCTATGTTCCCATTGGACATATCTTCCTGAACTAATAGGACAATTTCAGCTTGTCGACATAAGAAAAGGAGCAAGGTAAATGAAGTTTCATTTTGAAAGAGGAAAATTCATAGTGATCTAATATAAAAAGCAGTTAGTGAATTCATTTACTCACACAGTATTTATTGTATATCTACAGTGGGCAAGCCACTATTTAGGCACAAAGGATAGAGTAATGAATAAGAGATAGAAAATCCCTGCCCTGTGAGGTTACCTCTACTACAGAAAATAATCAAATAAACAACTATAAATCAAAGGTTGATAAGTGCTATGAAGAAAAATAAAGCAAGTAAGAGGGTAGAAAGTGTAGTGAAGGGAAAGGTTTGCTATTTTAGAGGGTAGGATATCCTTAACTGGTAGCATTTTGAGCAGAGACCAAGAAGGAAGTAAGGAGACAGCAATGGTGAAGACCTGGGGAAAAATGTTTCTAGGCAGAATTGAGATCTTACTAAGTTTTGGGGTTTTCTCTCCAGAGGATTTATTTAATGTTGATGCTTCCAAGCTGGAATCATTAGCAGCAAAAAACAAAGCATTGAATGAACAGATTGCAAGATTGGAACAAGAAAGAGAAAAAGAACCGGTTAGTAAACATGCTTATTTCATCAATAGGCTTATATACTTAGCTCTTTTGGACTCTTGGATCTCCTTAAAGAATACCAGCTGTTTCTTTATTAAAAAATAAATAAAATAACAAAATAAGCTTCTTAAAAATTAATTTTTTTACATAGGATAAAACTCCCCATGAAAACATGTTTGGTATCTCTAGAGCTTTGTTTTCCCTTGTGATCTATCAGTCTTGAACTAATGGTGTTCAGAATATGATGAAAGAGTCTTACCTATTTACATAAGACCAAAAAGATCTTTTGAACAAGATCCCCATGTTATATACCTTTAGGGAGCACAATTTACAAGAAGTCCTGAGTTATGTAGTTAGTGAAAAGGGAATGGTGATAAGTGGGTTTATGTAATATACTGTATTCTAAGGGCTTTCTAAAAGCTAAATGATAATATCCAGATACCTAATTTTATTTTGGGTGTTATATTACTGAAGTGCCCAGACTGTTCTGTAAAATATCAGATTTTAAATGTTTGTGCTTTTTAATTCTGACCCTTGACTTTTTGTATCCCAAACTGACTTCCTGAAAAGTACATCTTCTTAATTAGGTAATAACAGCAAAGTTACCTTTTAGTTCTTTGGCTTCCTCTAAAAGAGATAGGAAATGCTAATACACCTTTTTCTAAGATGAATTTAAATAATATTGTGTTATTTTCAAGTAAAGGAATGGTTATCAATTAGAATAATATGGTTTTTTTTCTTTTAAAGAATCGTCTAGAGTCATTGAGAAAATTGAAAACTTCCTTACAAGCAGATGTTCAAAAATATCAGGCATACATGAGCAATTTGGAGTCTCATTCAGCCATTCTTGACCAGAAATTGAATGGGCTTGATGAAGAAATTTCTAGAGTAGGTAAGCACAACCAATGCTAAAAGAGGACATTCATACTGGAATGGGGACCTGCCTGGGTTTTAATCACATACAGAGACAGCTTTGTCATCCATATTGTTTTTCCTTTAATGGTGAATGGCTATAGCAGGCCACCAAGTTTTCAATGCCTTCTACATGTATTAGTTTTCTGAGGCTGCTATAAAAAAATACCACAAATTTGGTAGATTAGAACAATAGAAATTTGTTCTAAAGGCCAGAAGTCCAAAATTTATTATGGCCAAGCTTCCTCCAAAGACTCTAGGGGAGAATTCATTCCTTGTCTCTTCCAGCTTCTCTTATCTGATGGTATTCCTGAGCTTTTGGCCATGTCACTCCAATTTCTACCTTCATCTTCACATTGCCTTTTCTCTGTATGTGTGTCTCCTCTTCTGTTTGTGTCCATTTCTCATAGCCTCTATCTTTTAAGGACATTTATGATGGCATTTAGGACCCACTAGATAATCCAGGGCAATCTCATCTCAAAATATTTAATGTAATCATATCTGCAAAAACCCCTTTTCCAAATAAGGAGATGTTTACAAATTCCAGGGATTAGGATTTCATATGTTTGGGTGACCATTATTCAACCTGCTACATGTTTTCAGGTGTCTGATTTTTTAAAGCTAAAAGGGACCTAACCTAAAAACATATGCTGCCTAATATAAATATATATTCTATTCCACCTTGTAATTAATAAGCCAGATTCTTAATTCTCTGCTGGCTTCAGGCTGCTACAATGGTCTTATCCTCCCTCACTACCTTCTAAGCCACTTGGCAGCTTAAGCTGTTTGAAAAGTAAGATGGAGGGGCGCCTGGGTGGCTCAGTCATTAAGCGTCTGCCTTCGGCTCAGGTCATGGTCCCAGGGTCCTGGGATCGATCCCCACATCGGGCTCCCTGCTCGGCGGGAAGCCTGCTTCTCCCTCTCCCACTCCCCCTGCTTGTGTTCCGTCTCTCGCTGTGTCTCTCTCTGTCAAATAAATAAATAAAATCTTAAAAAAAAAAAAAGATGGAAATACTACAATTCTTTGGAAGCAAAAGCCCAATTAAAGAAAACATATTTATATCTTGTTTTTCTTAAGCACGTATCAATCATAATCATAAAATTGAAAATACTGTAACACATGGATTGATGTTTCTCTACTGCCAGAAGGAAAGCAACGTATTCATAAATCACAGAGCCATTGGATGGCAAAATGAATAACTCTATGGACCTATTGTACTATTTTTCTAGGTGTTTGTCTGCTTCAGTTTTATTCTTGTAGGATTTTACAGGCTGTGTCTGTCCCACATAGGATTTGTGTAGATAGTCCCTAGGATATTTGATTTAATGCTTAGTATTAGTAATATTAACCATCCATCAAGTCAAAGATAATTACATGGAGTATTTGCTTAAATCAGGTTATTTTTTTCCAAATAACTCTGATTACATATATTAGATTTTCTCTAAACCAAGCCTTTAAATAATTTACATTTGGCCCCTAATGTTTGTTCTCCATGATGACAAGAAACCATAGACTAATTTTTTATTATAGCAATATTTGTAATGCAATTAAATCAATACTTTATAATATTCTGTCTTCCTCATTGGTATTTATCAAGAGAATTTTCGTACTTCCTACTTTTCTTGTGAGAATTTTTTTCCCAGTAATTGCAAGCTAAAGAGGTGAGAGATATATTTTAGCGATCATTTGCCATTCCAGATTGATTTAGTTTGTGATAATAATTTGATAGCCTACGATGTTTTTGTTCTGAATATTTTAACTTTCATGATTATTTAAAGTCACTCATGGCCAAGAATCAAAGAGACCTATTAAAACTGTATGGAGACAGAAAGGAAAGGAAGGAAGGAAGAAAGAGAGAGAGAGAGAGAATAATGTACATTGTGGATTTTTTGTGCAGATTCCTGTGATAAATGTATAAAATTTTACTTCAGCTATTTTTATTTTGAGCTCAAGTGTGGAACTTTCCAAGTACAGTGCTACAAATGAGTTATAACAAAGCCAAGATCTTGATCCTGTCAGCCCATGGAATGATTGTCTTGGCCCCTTTGGTCATGCATATTCTCATCCATCTACCCCAGCCTGCTTAAAAGTACTATCCTATTGGGGCGCCTGGGTGGCTCGGTCGTTAAGCGTCTGCCTTCGGCTCAGGTCATGATCCCAGGGTCCTGGGATCGAGCCCCGCGTCAGGCTCCCTGCTTGGCGGGAAGCCTGCTTCTCCCTCTGCCACTCCCCCTGCTTGTGTTCCCTCTCTCGCTGTGTCTCTCTCTTCAAATAAATAAATAAAATCTTTTAAAAAAAAAAGAAAAGTACTATCCTATTCTTTATAAGCTATGAATAACAGGTTGGAAAACACCATCCTGTATAACCCCAAATATTTTAAGTTTGATAACTTTTCTTGCCCTTTGTATAATCATTTGCTGTTTGTAAGTACCATTTTGTCTTAGTAAAATAATATAGTCATTCTTGCTTACAAATTTTGGTAAATAGAGGGGTGCCTGGGTGGTACAGCCAGGTAAGCGTATGACTCTTGGTTTCAGCTCAGGTCATAATTTTGGGGTCCTGGGATCAAGATCAAGCCCCACATCAGACTCTGTGCTCAGTGTGGAATCTGCTTAAGATTCTCTCTCTCCCTCTGCCCCTCCCACCTGTACTTGCGTGTGCGCTCGCTCTCTCAAATAAGTCTTTAAAAAAAACAAACAAATTTTGGTAAATAGAGCAAGAACTTAACCGCTGTAGTGACTTAATATTTGATCAAACTACTGAAAATGTCAGTGAAATAAGAATAAAGTGATGTATTTGAACATAAATATTTTTATATTTGTGAAAAACTTGTGGGTTTTCTGACTTATTGCAGAGAATCATGCTGGAGTATTAAAAGCATTCGAAGTGGTCATTGGCAGACTATCCGTCTTAGGTGTAATAATTCTTAATCCTAGTCATTATGTGTGAGGCCATATTTTTTTCATGTAGCACTTTCTGAAAATCATGCAAGCCAATAAGGAAGTAAGTTTCTAACATAAAACTTTTATTGTATCATCTTTCAGGAATGTTATTACCAAAGTGGGATCAAATAGAATCACCCCCAAAAAGAGAAGAGAAAAATATACATGTAAATAACCTGGAAATTTAGACCTATTAATCAAGTCTCTTAAATAATGGCATCGGAGCACCTGACTGGCTCAGTTGGTAGAGTGTACGACTCTTGAGCTTGGGGTTGTGAGTTTGAGCCTACACTGGGTGTAGAGACTGAGTTAAAAAAATTAAAATCTGGTTCAGCAATGTTTTAAAAATAAATAAATAATGGCCTCAATTTCTTTGTAGGAATTGAAAGAACTTAACAAATTTGTTTTCTTTAATGCAGAACTAGAATATGAAACAATGAAACAGGAGAATACTCGCCTACAGAATATTGTCGATAACCAGAAGTACTCAGTTGCAGACATCGAGAGAATAAATCATGAAAGAAATGAACTGCAGCAGACCATTAATAAACTAACCAAGGACCTGGAAGCTGAACAACAGCAGTTGTGGAATGAAGAGCTAAAATATGCCAGAGGCAAAGAGGCGGTATGTCATACCATTTCCAGAGTGGCAACTTAGAGCTGACATTTGTAAAGGTCTATCCCTGTTAAGAAAAACTGAGTCGGTAGAATAAATTGGCTAAGAGTTAAAACTTTTTAACATTGACATTTTACTAAAACACACTCATCCCTTTATGTCAATTCTCTCAGTCAGATTTAAGGTAGACCGTACTTTTTAGCAGTGAACCAAGAAATAAGCAAAAATGTCTCTAAGTACATGAAAATAATGTTCATAAATCACATGCCTTTTATTCTAGAAGAGGATATGAGTCGATTCTTCATTTACCTAGTCACTATTCAAACATTTGTTTAACATCTGCTGTGTGCCACTTCCCATGCTGAGCTTAGAAGAATAAAGATAAAAAGACAGACTCTCCCCTCAAGAAACTTCCAATCTAGTTGATATGAGACCATGAGATCAGACCTCTAAAAAATGTTTGCACAGGGTATTAAGGAAGCATATAGTATTCCTAACCCAGATGTAGTGTCTGTGGTGTGGGAAGATATATGAGGTGATTTTTAGAAAGGTTTCCTTGAAGAGATAATACCTGAACTGAATTGGGAAGTGTAAGTAAGTTATCTTGGCAAGGGTAGGGGAGTCAGCAAACAAGTATATGGGAAAGCCCAAAGAGAAAATTGCGTGTTGTACTCTGACATCAGAATCTTTTCATATGGCTGGAGCTTAATAGCAAAGGATAGGGGCACAGCAAAAGAGAAGACTCAAGAGAAAAAGCACAGACCAGACAATAAAGATTCTTTTCATATTTAAAAGTTTGGGCTTTATTCTGAAAGCTCCAAGAAGCCCTTAAGATTTTTAAACAGATACTACATTTCAGAAAGATCTCATTTTTGGTCATGTGAAAAATGGATTGGAAGGGAGCAAAACAGATAAGGATCTGTGGCAGTAATGTGGTGAGAAGTTATGAGCTGAATTTAGATAATGCTAGTGGAGATTCAAAGAAGTGGGTGACTTCTGACTACTTAGGAGGTAGAGGGAATAAGACTTGATGAAAGACAAAGGGTGCATTCACAGTGTCTGGTTTGGGCAATGGGGCAAGCAATAGTACCGCTCACTCCAACATAGAAGAGAAATGGCCAGTCAGGAATAGAGATGGTATGCTGAACCTGTTATGTCCATGGGGCATTCTAATAGGCTATTGTTCTGTGAGTCTGAACCTCAGCATAAAATATGAGGGTTTGCATTGTAGACTAAGTAAAAATCAGAATGTATTGTGATTGAAACCACATGAGTAGATGAATTCACCAAGGAAGAATGCATAGGAGGAAGGGAGCACCAGCATCTTAAAGTGGACAAAGGTCCCTTAAGAGAGGCCTAAAATTAACTGAGGACTAGCCAGAGAGGTCAAGAGGACAGAAACTGAAAAAGGAAGTCAGGAAGGAATTAGCAGTATCAAAGGCAATAACGGGATTTAAAAGTTTCTGTCAGATTTGGTAACAGCAGTCACTAGTGACCTTCACCAGAATCAAAGTATTTGACTTCATTTCAGTTTTAGAGGTAGCACATTATCCTTGTAGATAACATTGTTGAGAAAGTGGGCATATTGGCCATATGAATTTCTAGATAAAGTTTATCTTTATTTTTGTTGGCAGTCCCTTATAAATATTCTATACTTCTGCCTTGCTAGCTGTGCACTCTTTACTCTTACCTTTTAATGTAGCTCTCAGTAGACAAGAACTTTTTCTTAATGATTTAGCATAATCATGAATGTGACACCAGTATATTCTAAAACAACAATAAGTTAACAGGTTGTCTAGGGACCAAATAATATTTTTCTATCAAATAGTTCCAAAGTGATTTTTTTCTGCTATATACACTATTGCATTCCTAAGAAAAATTATGTAAGTTAAGACTCTTTTAAGAAAAGGTAATAAATCGTGTCTTTCAAAGGGCTCTCTCTCTCTCTCTCTCTCTCTCTCTTTTTTAATGGAAAAAATAAACTAGAGAGTTTCAAAATTAAATTTTGAAGTTTTCTACCCTAGTATTTTCAGGTACAATGTTTGTTTATTGGTAGGTATAGTACTAAAATTTATACCTCACTGAGAAAAATTTACTCTCTGTTTTGCTCCAGAGGTAATGGCATTTTTTATCCTATTACTTCCAGCACTTTCCTTAATACATTATTTCTTATATTTATCACTATTGTTAAAATAAAAAAGTAGATCAAACAAAGCAGCTCTTTTTGCCCAAAGAGACAATATTGGTTTTTCATCCTGGTCACCTTATAAAGTACATTATAGGCATGATACAAATGGTTTCTTAATCAGTCAGGTTTTAACTATTTTGTATTTTTAAAAATCTGTATTTTGCATACCTACATATGTAATTTTTCATGTGCAGTAAACATTGCCTCCTTTTTTTAATCCCTGTCTCACCATACTTTTGCTTTGCCTTGACTATCTTTACTCCCTCATCCTAACCCTCTAGGTAATCTCTGTCCCTGTGTATTAAGGAGAAAGATAGACATTTATAAGAAGTAGACTGTAGGGGCACCTGGGTGGCTCAGTCATTAAGCATCAGGTCATGATCCCAGGGTCCTGTGATTGAGCCCCACATTGGGCTCCTTGCTCAGCGGGAAGACTGCTTCTCCCTCTCCCCCTCCCCTTGCTTGTGTTCCCTCTCTCGCTGTGTCTCTTTCTCTCTGTCAAATACATAATATCTTTTAAAAAAGAAGAAGTAGTAGACTGTAGTGGTGATCCCAAAAGTCTTTGAACCTAGAATTTGGTAAACCTGTATTTTAACCCTGGATTTTCCATCACATATCTGTGTGAACTCAGCATGTTATTTAACCTCTCATAGCCTTGGTTTCCTTATTAATAAAGTGAGGTATGGTTAAACTACATCAGTGAATCTGAAATGAGTTCCTTCAACAAACATTAATATATTTTATCTCTCAAGCACTGTGTGGGAATGGGGAAGTTATGAATCTCTGGACCAGGTGAGCTCTTGAGTTTAGTTGGCTAAGATTAGCTGTATAAATGCTATTCTTTATTTTGGAGGATCAGGCTGAAAGAAGAAAATTATATGGGAACTAGGTAAGCAGTGATCTGATTAGGGCAGAGTAAGCCATACACAGTGAGAAGAAAACCTTAGGGTACTAGATGAAAGAGATTAAAGAATGATAGCAGAATGCAAAAATTTAACATCAACATTTGATCCATCATCTTTTTTTCTGAATTAATTTTTATTCCACATGTCACCTCTGGCTGATAGTAGCCTTCTGGATCTCTATGTTGAAATAGAGAGCCAGCATCTGCTGATCAGGAAAATGTGTGATCAGTTTTCACTGTCTGAATTGCTTGTGGGAAGAATAAATGTGCCACACATTTGCTCTCCCTGCAATTAGACTGGTAAAGTGCATGGGCTTGTGAAAACTGTTTTCATTTAAATAAAATCCTAGTGAAGAACAGAAGCAACTACGTATAAAACCATTTAGTAAAAGAACAAACAGAGCTACACATTTTAGTAATCCCTGAAGAGCTACTATATTACAAATTAGAGTAGTTGAAATTATTTCCTGATTCATTAATAAGAATTCTTAAATTAGGGGCACCTGGCTGGCTCAGTCTGAAGATCCTGCGACTCTTGATCTTGGGGTCATGAGTTTGAGCCCCACTCTTGGTGTAGAGATTACTCAAATGAATAAATAAATAACTTTAAAAAATCTTAAGTGTAGTGCGCCTGGGTGGCTCAGTTGGTTAAGCGACTGCCTTCGGCTCAGGTCATGATCCTGGAGTCCCGGGATCGAGTCCCACATCGGGCTCCCTGCTCAGCAGGGAGTCTGCTTCTCCCTCTGACCCTCCTCCCTCTCATGCTCTCTGTCTCTCATTCTCTCTCTCGCAAATAAATAAAATCTTTAAAAAAAATCTTAAGTGTAATATATTAAGTAGCATTGCTTTTGAGAGCTGATAAATTTTTGGAAATTACAGATTAAGCAAGTTTCAATGGGTGCTCTTCCCTCATTGCATTCTTTCACTCAAAGTGTTCAGTTTTGTGGATAGGTAACAACGGTGAGAAACTATGTGTGTATTAAATGGAGGAAGCAGTATGAAAATAAATTGTCTAGACTCTGCAAATTCGTTTATTTAATCAAATATTAAGTACTACTAAATGCCAAGTACTGTTCTGAGTCCTGAGGGGACTGTTTTCATGGAGCTTACAATGAAAGTAAATTAAATAAGTAATATCAGATAGTAGTAAGTGTTATGAATAAAAATAAAGAGGATTGAGAAATTCAGAGGGCTATATTATAGCAAAAGCCTTTCTGATAATGTAATTTGAACAGAGCCCTGAAGACAGGGAAGGAGACCAGGAAATATGGAATTGTTACTAAAATATTTTTGTTAACATAACATTTGTGACTTAAATTATTATATTTCACTTATTTTGGATAAATGAAATATTTTATTTTGTACATTGACAATACTAAGTTTTGTTTGGTTTCATAATTTTTCTGACACCTTAAAAAGTAAATTTTAGTTAATACCTAAATATTGATTCTCGTTCCAAACTATTTGTCCGGTAAATGAAAGAACAGTGGTATGTTGCTTACTAATTAATTACAGTTTTTAAATTATCCCACAGATTTAGTGTGAATAAAACCTTTCATTCTTTTATTTTATATATACCTTTATATTTTATTTTGAAACTGCCACCCTTACTACTAAAATAAACCAAATTACTAAACTACAAAAAATACTATAATTTTTATGTGTAATTGCAGAAATGTCAATTGAAAACCATATGGAATGGGGCTGTTTGGTTTACTTTAATGTTTCTTTTTGTGTTCTCTTTTTACAGATTGAAACACAGTTATCAGAGTATCACAAGTTGGCCAGAAAATTAAAACTTATCCCTAAGGGTGCTGAAAATTCCAAAGGTTATGACTTTGAAATTAAGTTTAATCCTGAAGCTGGAGCCAACTGCCTTGTCAAATACAGAGCTCAAGTTTATGTAAGTAATCATGAGTACTTCAAAAGATTTTTAAATGATATGACTAATGTCTTGTTCATTTATTTATAAGTAAGAGTTTAAACTTCAGCGTGTTTATAACTGAGGACTGAACATAGAAATAAAACTCTGAAACTTTTAATCTTCCTTCGTTTTGGTACTTAAAAGTCGCTATTGTACCGTCTTCTTTGAATTATAAAGCCTTTTCTTTCTCTCTACCTACTTTATTTACTTAGCTAACCAAAAGAAACTTTGATTATATTTAATATAGACACCGGGATTATAAAGAGAAAAATTACCTGACCCTTGCTCTTAAGTTGCTACTTAGAGAAGAGAAAGACATAAATAAATAATTGCTATATATGTGCTTTATTAGAGGTGTTTACAAGGTATGGTATTGAGATCAATTCTTGCCAGAACTGAGGGGAAAGAAAAGTGTCCACAGAGATGGTGAACCTGGAATGAAATCTTGAAAGTTGAGGTATTTATTGGGATGGTCTTTGGGGAAAAAGCTTCAGGCACAAGGACACACATTGAAGGCATGTGTGAAGGCATGAAATATAATAGGGCATTAAGTAACACCAGCAGTCAATAATGAAAAATCTGCACCTAATTTTTAAATGTGGCCAATGATGTAATTTGGAGAAAATTTTTAAATCGTTCTATTGCAACTTCTCAATTATTCACAGATTTTAGTATTTTAGTGGCCCCCTCAAAAATGACACTTTTCAAAATACATAGTTTTTGAATAAAGAATGTCAAAGTCTAAAGCTATGCATTTTTCCCTTGAGAATCATTCATTCATTCAATAAATTATTGATTAAGTACATACTATGCTCCATACCAGCTAGGTGCTGGAGATGAAATACCCAGAAAGATACAATTCCTACTTTTCCAGAGATCACAATTTATTGGTGAACAGACTTTGATTAAATAAAGCTGGACTCATTTTCAACAGAAAAAACCTACCCAGTAAACATACAGTCTTTTACTGAATTGTTTCTTAAGCAGTAGCTAGGTAGGCAGGTAGACAGACAGGCTGGCAGCCAGATAGTTTACGCACCCACTATTTTGAGTAGTTTGACACTGATGCAAGAAAATAATTACCGGGGCGCCTGGGTGGCTCAGTCATTAAGCGACTGCCTTCAGCTCAGGTCATGATCCCAAGGTCCTGGGATCAAGCCCCGCATCGGGCTTCCTGCTCCGCGGGAAGCCTGCTTCTCCCTCTCCCACTCCCCCTGCTTGTGTTCCCTCTCTCACTGTGTCTCTCTCTGTAAAATAAATAAATAAAATCTTTAAAAAAAAAAAAGAAAGAAAGAAAAATAATTACCTGCATCAAATCAGTGTAGAAAGAATTACCCAATACAAAAAGAATTCACATTCTAAGAAAAGAGGGAAAGGCTTTATTGTGATCTCTGAAAATAGTTTTACATACTAATAGAACAATAAAAATAGAAATAGCATCCAGAAGGAGCAACCCCAACTGTTACAAGTAGTATTTGGAGAAGAGTTCTTAAAGAGGCATTGCATCTTTCAAAAAGGAGCAGCCAAAATTAAAACTCAGCAATAACTTCAAAAGACCTACTAAAAACATAGTAACACACAGGGTTTTCTTTTGGTGATGAAGATCACTTGGAATGAGAGGTGGTGTTTATACAACACTGAATGTACTAAATGCCACTGACCTGTACGCTTTAAAAGAGGTAGTTTTGGGCACCTGGGTGGCTCAGTTGGTTGGGCGACTGCCTTCGGCTCAGGTCGTGATCCTGGAGTCCCGGGATCGAGTCCTGCATCGGGCTCCCTGCTCAGCGGGGAGTCTGCTTCTCCCTCTGACCCTCCCCCCCCCATGCTCTCTCTCTCTATCTCATTCTCTCTCTCAAATAAATAAATAAAATCTTAAAAAAATAAATAATAAATAAATAAAAGAGGTAGTTTTATGTTAAATTCATTTTAACTTAATTATTTCAATTTAATCATTTTGAAGTGTGAGTTTGACCTCAATAAAAAAATGATGGGAAACAATGAAGTACTGTGTTGAAAGAAAATTAGTAGAATAGAGGATAAACATAAGAAATACAAGCAATAAGAGCTTCAAGGTTGGTGAACACATGGGGATGCAGGGCACACCCAGAGGGTATGGAAGCTCTGCACCCCTTCCAAGTACCTTGCCCTATGCATCTTTTCCGTCTGGCTGTTCCTGACTTTGATCATTCTTAAATGAACTGGTAAACATTTGCATGTTCTGGACACCCACCTTGCTTTTATTCCCAGAACAACCCACCCTGGCGATCTCTCTGCAGTAGTATGTCGAGATCTTCCTGGTTCTTTTTGCAGTCTCAGAGTCTTCATTGTGTAGCTTATTCAACCGGTCCTGGCTGGTGGACATATGCTATGTTTCAAATCTTGTGCTATTAAAACAGAATTCCAATGAATAGCAGAAAGAAGAAATATAAGCAGATAATTGTAAGATTAAACAGTTGAAAAGGATTAAGAGAAAAATATAAATTGTTTTCAAGAAAGATACTGCATTAATATAAGTGTACTTATAAAAAATGTTTAAATAATAGCAGTGAATCTCCAGAATCCATAAGCAAATCTAAAATTTTGCAAGTATTCAAAACCAAAAGCAAGTTGCATTCTATAGTTATAGAAATTACATTGAAAATTAGTTTTATTGGCACTCCTGGGTGGCTCAGTCAGTTGAGCATCATCTTGGTTTCTGCTTAGGTCAGGATCTCAGAGTCGAAAGATCAAGCCCCATGAAAGATCAAGCCCTGCGTCAGGCTCCTCGCTCAGCAGGGAGTCTGCTTGAGATTCTCTCCCTCTCCCTTTGCCCCTGCCCCTGCATGAACACTGTCTCTCTCTCTAATAAATCTTTAAAAAAAAAAAATTACTTTTTTGCCTTATTTATAATGTATTAATTTAGTTCAAAAACATCATGGCTTCACTTTTTTTCCTCTAAAAGTGGCTCCTTCTATCACAATGTGTAGATGCCTCATGAGAAATTTTGTACTAGGTATATAGTATGTAACCCATATTCCTATATATTTTATAGGTACCACTCAAGGAACTCTTGAACCAAACTGAAGAAGAAATTAATAAAGCTCTAAATAAAAAAATGGGGTTAGAGGATACTTTAGAACAGGTAAGTAACAAAACAGTTTTTAAAAGCAAAAATAAGATTTTTTAACACTTAAGTGTGGTTTGTAGTTTCTATGGAATGAATGTGTAGCTTTTAAGGAATGAATTTTTAATAAGATATTATGGAAAATGAGAATTTGGTATACCCTTGACTTAGAAACATTTGAAGTAATTTTTTAAATAACTTAAACATCTTAGGCTACACATATCATTGATGATGAAATAAATTACTGAGTAAATTATCCTTGATTTTAAATGGAGAATTGCCTCCTTCAACTTGAGATAACTTAATATACCTTTTTTTTTTTTTAAGTTTTATATTAAGTTAAATCTCTACACCTAACATGGGGCTCAAACTCAAGACCCTGAGATCAAGAGTTGCATGCTCTTCGGACTGAGTCAGCCAGGAGCCCCTTAATATCTCTTTATACTATAAGGAATTTGAGATGGCTATCTTAAAAGTAGATATGTATCATTTGGGGCTTGAGGCTAAGTAGCCATGATAAATTAAGAGATTTTTATTAACCACACTTTTCATTCTGCACCATGAAATTCAGGGGAACTCAAATGCCTATAAAAGTCTACTTCCAAAAGTAGGTTTCAGAAAGTTCCTGCTTCTAAGATACTTGAAACATAAAATGACCAATATCCCTGAGAGATATACTGATTCTATTATTGATTCAGTAACCTTTAAATATTGTTAAAGTTGATTAAGAAAAAGTTAAGAAGCTACTTCTCAACTGCACACAAAAGGTATTGTTTGTATGACAACAAACAATTGAAGGAAAACCCTAGTTAATTCAGCTCTTAAAGAAGTATTATGCCATTTCAAGATTCCAAGATACAAAATCCTATCTTTACTCAGAATAGAAACTTGTTTTTCTCATCTGGAAATAAAACCTATGCATTTGGGGCGCCTGGGTGGCTCAGTTGGTTAAGCGACTGCCTTCGGCTCAGGTCATGATCCTGGAGTCCCGGGATCGAGTCCCGCATCAGGCTCCCTGCTCGGCAGGGAGTCTGCTTCTCCCTCTGACCCTCCTCCCTCTCATGCTGTCTGTCTCTCATTCTCTCTCTCTCAAATAAATAAATAAAATCTTTAAAAAAAAAACAAACCTATGCATTTCACAAATTATGCAAGTAACCCACATTTTTTTCATGTTAACAAATTCTATCAAAACTTACTTTGTATTAGAAAGAATCCCCACTCCTCAAAAATAGCAAATAGTTAACATTAGATAAGTGGGCAGTTTCATGATACTATTGTTATTATAATTTGGGGTTTCTGTAACATCACACAGTGGAAAGAAGATAAGGAATTATGACTGCTTTAACAGGTACTCTGCAGGTGTGAGGTCATTTAAGATGAAGTCTTCACTTAACTTCTTTCAGTTTGGTTTCTCTCTTTTGTTGGAGTGGGCACTGAACCTGTAGACTTTCAAACTGACTTGAAACTTTTTAAAGGCTATAGGCAGGAAAACTTGGCGGGGAGGCCCGGAGGAGTTATAAAATGCCTACTATAGGTGGGGTACCTGGGTGGCTCAGTTAATCATCTGACTCTTAATTTCAGCTCAGGTCATGATCTCAGGGTCCTGGGATCAGGACTCCATGCTCGGTGGGGAGTCTGCTTGAGATTCTCTCCCTCTGCCCCCCCTGACATGCTCATACTCTCTCTTTCTCTCTGTCTAAAATAAACAAATCTTTTTTTAGGGGCGCCTCAGTGGCTCAGTCTAAGCGTCTGCCTTCGGCGCAGGTCATGATCTCAGGGTCCTGGGATCGAGCCCCGCATCGGGCTCCCTGCTCAGCCGGGAGCCTGCTTCTCCCTCTCCCACTCCCCCTGCTTGTGTTCCCTCCCTCACTGTGTCTCTCTCTGTCAAATAAATAAATAAAATCTTTAAAAAAAAAATCTTTTTTTAAAAATGCATACTATAGTATAGGCTAGGCCCAATGTTAATATTCCGAAGATAAATATAACAAGTTTGAATGAAATATAAGCTCCCATTTGGAGAAAAAGACTGACCTGCAGTTATGCTAATCAGATTTGCATTTTTCAAAACCCTTTTGGGCACAGAAAAAAGTGACTTGTGGGGAAGCAACTGAAATTGTTAAGAAGCTAAACCAAAGTATTACAGTAGAAATAGAAGGAAGGGGACAGGTTTAGGAAATGTTGAGGTAGACTCCAGCATTTTTTGGCAGATGGTGAAAGCTGGGAAGGAAAGAAGTACCAACAGTAACTTCCATTTTTCCAGTGTGGGCAACCTTGGGGAGAAAAAAGTGAGTGCAGCTAACCAGCCCAGTACTAGAGATGTTGAGCTTGCTGTCTGCAGAACATAGCCATCCAAAAGGAAGCCGAAGCAATAGATTCAGAACATGGGGAGAGATTGTATCTGAAAATACAGATTTCAGAGTCTTTACCATATAGGTGGTACTTGAGCCCAAATGTGGGTGATATTTTTTAGACTATGTAGAGGACAGTGGCAGAGGATTAAATCTTGAGAAACAGCACCACTTAAGAGATAGGCAAAGGAAGGAGGTTCTGGGAAAAACTCTTAGAAGTGGACAAGGAGCGCCTGGGTGGCTCAGTTGGTTAAGCGACTGCCTTTGGCTCAGGTCATGATCCTGGAGACCCAGGATCGAGTCCCACATCGGGCTCCCTGCTCAGGAGGGAGTCTGCTTCTCCTTCTGACCCTCCCCCCTCATACACTCTCTCTCTCACTCATTCTCTCAAATAAAGAAATAAGATCTAAAAAAAAAGGACAAAATAGTCGGAGAACAATCACAGGAGGAGAAATGCTATAAAAGCCAAAGTAGGGAAGACTTTTGAAAAAGCCCTGATTCTAACTAAATTTACTGTAGCAATTATTTCACATTATATACATATATTAAATCATAATTTTGTACACCTTAAACCTATACAATGGTATATATTAGTTATGTCTTAAAACTAGGGGGAAAAGAAGGAAAGATCAGTAATGTTTCATATGCTTCAGAGACTAAAGACTAAAACAGTTTTTAAAATTTGACAGTTTGGGGCACCTGGGGGGCTCATTCGTTTAAGCATCTGCCTTCAGCTCAGGTCATAATCACAGGGTCCTGGGATTGAGCTCCGCATCAGGCTCCCTGCTCCGTGAGAAGCCTGCTTCTCCCTCTCCCACTCCCGCTGCTTGTGTTCCCTCTCTTGCTGTGTCTCTCTCTGTCAAATAAATAAAATCTTTTAAAAAATTTAAAAAATAAAAAAATAAAATTTGACAATTTAACCAAATTAAGATAGCATAAGGTAAAACAGCTATTTGAAATAGTAATGGTTAAACATAAATTAATGAATTAAAATAACTAAATGTTAAATAAAATTTCAACTGAGTAAATTTAAAGATCTAATTGGCTTTATTTAGCAAGTCAGAAATTGGGCAGCATCCCATTTAGCAATTAGACAAGAACTCTAAAGGAAAACAATTTTTAAGGCAGGACAAGGAAGTCATAAACTAAAAAAAAAAAAAAATTATTCTGAAATAAAGGGTCTTATTAGGGGGCTCCTGGGTGGCTCAGTAGTTAAGTGTCTGCCGTCGGCTCAGGTCATGATTCCAGGGTCCTGGGATCCAGCCCCACATCGGGCTCTCTGCTCAGTGGGAAGCCTGCTTCTCCCTCTTCCACTCCCTCTGCTTGTGTTCCCTCTCTCGCTGTCTCTCTCTCTCTGTCAAATAATAAATCTAAAAAATAAATAAATAAAAATAAAATTGCTTTGCTGGAGACTTGTAAGCATGGTATACAGATCAAGCCCCGCATCCTGGCTGCCTGCTCAACAGGGAGTCTGCTTTTCCCTCTCCCTACCCTCCCCACAACCCCTACCCCCCGCCACCCCCCCCACGTGCACTTGAGTTCTCTCTCCTCTCTCAAATAAATAAGTAAAATCTTTTTAAAAAAACTCCTAAATTCATTCCAATCTTACAACCCTGACCACACATAGAATGTCTTTCCCTTATTTTTTTATTTTTTATTTATTTATTTATTTTTTTATTCATGAGAGACAGAGCGAGAGAGAAAGGCAGAGGGAGAAGCAGGCTCCCAAGGAGCAGGGAGCCCGATGCGGGACTCGATCCCAGGACCCTGAGATCATGACCTGAGCTGAAGGCAGACGCTTAACCATCTGAGCCACCCAGGCACCCTCCCTTATTATTTCTAGCAGTTTTAATTACACATACTAGAATTTTTAACCCTTAGAAACTTTTAATTTCTAGTGAAATCTAAGAAGTAAGAAATTATAAACTGTCTTTTACATTACCATTCTGTGGATTAGCAGGTAGCATCCCATTTAGCAAATAAAAGAGCGCTCCAAATGGCTACAGAAAGGGAAAGAGACTAGAGGCACACAGTTAAGAAGCCTAATAGTATCCTGAACGATAAATGGTAAAAACTCAAACCAAGGCTATTGCAGTAAGGATGGAAAAGAGAGATTTAAAGATTGAAACAATGTAATTTAGTGGTCCATTTGGATGTGGGGCCCGCGGGGCTCGATCCCATGACCTGAGCCAAAATCAGAAGTCAGGCACTTAACTGAATGAGCCGCACCCGGGTGCCCCTGAAGATTTTTAAGTCAGGGCATAACACCCTTGTATTTTAGTTAGCCCATAATGTTGGCATTTTGAAGGCTAATTTAGAAGTACATGAAACTAGAGGCACACAGTTTGGAAGTCTAACAGTATCCTAAGTGATAAATGGTAAAAACTCAAACCAACGCTATTGCAGTGAGGATGGAAAAAAGAGATTTAAAGATTGAAACAATGTAATTAGTGGTCCATTTGGATGTGAAGGTTAAGGAAGAGAGAAATTAAGAATGTTCCGGTGTCTAGCTTTGGTATATGATGTTAAAGAAAAAGAAAAATTATTCATGACACTTGTTAAAGGAAGTAAGGTAGATTTCATTCAAGGGGAACTATTACAAAGAGGTTTTCTAGTAGATGAGAGAGATTAGGCTCAACTCCAAATACAACAACAGCAAAAAAGGGGAATTTGTAACCAAGGAGAGTAGGGTACAGATCAGTAGATAAAGTATGATTGAGAAGAAACTCTGGGGGTAAAGGAGAATACTATCTAAACCAACCTAATAGCGTTCTTGCTGAAAGCAGGCCAAGGTGACCAGATAACAGCTGGAGGATGTTGGAGGAGGAGGGACTTGAGTAGATATTGAGGTTAGGGATTCTGATTAAACTGTCTTAAGCATTATTCTTACTAAAACTGGACAATACAAAGACAAACACAGAAGCCAAAAAGTCAGCCTCTTTGAGAAGACAGTTCAGAAGAGCTGAGTAGTTTGGTCAAGGAGAGAATCTTTTGGTGGTAATGTTCTAGAGCCTTGATAAAGAATACAAGAGAAGGGTGTAGAAGAAAGAATTTCAGGCTGGGATATGCTGAGATTCAGATCTCCAGAATATCAGAGTGGAGAATGTCCTGTAGGCAGTTGGAGTGTGTACATAGATATAAATAGGTATTTCTTAGCATGCAGTTAATTAAAGCCAGGAGATTTCCCAGGTGTGAAAATGAAAGAGCAAGCTCTCCCAAGTGAGCAGATGAGAATACAGCCAAGATCAGAATCCTGGGAGAACATCCACAACCAAAGTACAAGCAGAGAAAGAGAAACCTATAAGGAAGAATTAGAAGGACCTCCCAAGACTTAAAGAAAAAACTAGGAGCTTCCATGGTCGTAGAAACCAAGGAAGGGGATTTCAGAAGGGAGTGATCAACTATTTATGTTACTCAGATATCAAATAAGATTAAGTCTGAAAGATGTTCATTGACTTTAACAATTAAGATGTTAATGGTGACCATTACAAAAGCGACTTCATGAAGCAGAGGAGCCAGAAAGCGTATTGCTGTGGATTAAAGTTTGAATGGTAGTAGAAGATACTATAGTATGAATAGTCTACTTTCCAGCGAATGCTACAAATTAGACCATTACAAAAGTTTGAGTCTAAGGAGAAAAGATGGAACAGTAGTTAGAAAGTGGTGTATGGGAAAGATTTTCATTTTTGGAGGGGTGGGGGAGGGGCTTGTTTGGGTTTAAAGATGAGAGAGTTAGAGTTCAAGGGAAAGAGGGTAAAGTTTTAAAAATTAGGAGGGAAAGGGATTGATGGATTTGAATGTGGTTCATGAAGAAATACTAAGGCTTGGGGTCTAGAGAAGAGCTGAAGTGGTTGTTTCTCCTCATGAGGAAAATGGGTATCCTGCATCCTGAAACTGATTGGAAGGAAGAAGGAAAAAGTCTCATACAAATATTTTGGTTGATGGGAGGCAGGAAGTGATGGAAATTCAAAGGAAAAAGTCTCATACAAATATTTTGGTTGATGGGAGGCAGGAAGTGATGGAAATTCAATCTAGTGTCTTCTGTCTTCTCAATGACAGAAGAAAAAAAATTAACTACAGTAACTAATGATATCTTCTTTGCTTATAAGCTGCTGGACAGTTGTTTATTGAATGAATGAAAGAAATACTGGAGGAAGTATACCAAATATTAATAGCAGTTCTTTGGGATTATAGAATTATTAGTAATTGTTATTTTCCTTACTTTTCCCCATATTTATCACAATGGAAATGTATATTTTTGTAATGGGGTCGGGGAGGGGGGGAATGTTTAATTGGTGAAACTTTAGTAAAGCTCACATGAAAGTTAGAAGCTGCTCAGAGATTAAGTAAACATGATTTTGACCAAATGTGACTTCCTAGTGGAAGTTCTGATTATTTGGGTATCCAGTGGTCTTACCGCAAGTAAATTTAATGAAACAACTTGTTTAACTTAGCACTTACTTCAGAAGTAACATATCTTTAGACTGGAAGTTTATAGTGTAGGGGTCAAGGGCGAATCACCCCAAGATGTGCCACTCTGGCATGCAGCTTATTTAGTATATGTGCTGCCGAAGCGAGCACTGGCATGCAGCTTATTTAGAACTGAAAATATTCAAAACCCAAAAGACTCAGGAAGAAATATTGATCTCCACCTAACCCCTAACTGCCTAAAAGAATTTAAAGGACCTCCTCCCAGAAGGGAGCTATCACCATAGCTAACTACAGTATAATATAAACTAAGGATGGTAGACAGGGAGGAACTTTAGCAGTCTCTTTCTTAAAATTCCTCTCTATGTCCCATTTGTGTCTGTGTGGCCCAGCAAACATTTGTTTACCAAACATTTACTCTTCCATCTTCCTATGAATTGCTTTCCTTTTCTTGAAATCCCAGACCCCTACCCTCTTATGTTTAGTTCAGGATGACAAATATACTTCATTTTGCTTGTCTTTAGAATCTCATGTCTTTGTGGATTCCCCATACATACAAAATTATATTTGACTTTCTCCTGTTAATCAGTCTCATGTCACTTTAATTCTTAGACCAGCCAAAAGAACCTTAAGGGTAGAGAAAAATGTTTCCTGCTAAAGAATAGCTTTCGTAACTCTAGAGAGAGAGGAGAAAGAGAATCTTAAGCAGGCTCCATGACCAACACAGGGCTCAGTCCCACAACCCTGGGATCATGACCTGAGCTGAAATCAAGAGTCAGATGCTTAACCAACTGAACCACCCAGGCGCCCCTCTAGTCTTCAAATAACTTGAAAGTCAGGTGGTGTAGAAAAAGTCCTTGGAGTTAGAACATCTAGGTTGGAGTTCTGGGCATATGCTTGCTGCATGATCCTAAGTGAATAGCATTCATTCTAGCCAACTCTTCTCATTTGTAAAATAGGAAAGGAATATCCCTTACAAAGAGACTTTTGATAATTGAATGAGAAGTATATGCAAGTTTATCTAATAAATATATAGTCATTTTGCCATCCTATCGTATACCAAATAACAATTGCTTTACTGAATTTTTCCCAAAAATATGTATATGTAATTGTTTTGCAAATTCATATATGTGTTGAATCATCCTTTTAAAGAAAGATCCAGCTTATATATACCTTTTGCTATTTTCTATTTCCTACAGCAAATATCTTCTTGGTCTAGCTGGAAAACATTCCATATTAATTACTGGTATCAACTGGTATTAGCTGTATTAGCACTTGTTGGCAGGAAATGAATTTTGGAAACACTTTTTTTCTTTAGTTTTGGTTTCAACAGATCTTAAAGCTCAGACTTTAATAAGATTAAACGTGTTTATTATTCTTTGGAAGAATGCATTGACTAATAACCAGTTAGCAAACATCCAATAAAATCAATATGAAAACCTCTTTAACATCCTAGAAAGTAAACACACAAATGGAAAGCTAGATAACTAATAAAATAGATCAAATCTAAGTAAAGCTAGACTTCAAAACTAGAGGGCAAAAACAACTTATATGTATTAATATAAAAATGTTAAGAGTGTATATAACACATGTAATATTTATGTAATATATATGAGAGCTTAAAAATACTCCCACAGCAACTAGTGGAAAAGTTACTTGTATCCTTCTTTTACTGAGAATTAAGCCAGATTTTTGATTCCTATCGAATGCCACTCTGCATTTAAGTATTGTACATTTAAAAAATAATAAGTTTTTTTGTGTGTTTGTTTTTATTTAACTCCTCTCAGGGGAATAATAAATTCTGGGAACAAATGATAGGTGAGAATCCAAAAGGACTAGAAATAACATGGTCAGTCAATAATACGAAAGTTTTATAACTAAAATGTTTTTGATGTATGGTTATGATTTCTCAACCAAAGTTTTATTCTCCAAGTTAAATACAATGATAACAGAAAGCAGGAGAGGTGTAAGAACTCTGAAAGAAGAAGTTCAAAAGCTGGATGATCTTTACCAACAAAAAGTTAAGGTAAGAACTTTGCCACAGTTTGTATAGGTGAACCTTGACCTGTTCTGACATCTAACTAAATCTTTAAGCTATATCCTATAACTTGTGTTTAAGTTTAATCTTCTGAAGTTTATTATAAGGAGTTTTTTTTCCAGGATTTTTTTCCTGGAATTGGGCTGTTTCACACTAGAACACGTTTACTGTTCCATTAATATTTTAGACTTGAATATGAGATTCTGTATCCTTGTAAGACCAAAACATGTTTTAAATGTAGTCTCTTCTACCTTTTATAGAAATTTAGTATTAAGCACTCCTAAAGCATAAACCTTCGTTATATGATTGCCTGTAAAGAGTCATTGCAAACGGACAACTATCTTGGCCAAATTCCAAAGATCATTTATATGAAATTGGGAATGTAGGTAAAATAATAGGATTCATTTCCCACCACCTCTAATCCATCCACCTATGGCCAGCATTTTACTTAGGGAAGCACTCAGATGACTGCTCATTACCACTTATATAACTTAGGTGAAAATTTTAGTCATACCAATATTTTTTACTTAGTTACACCAACAAAGTATTAGGAATTGAAAACTTTCTCTTGGCCTTGTAGTGTATTTAGGGCCTATACATTTTGTTAAGCAGTGAGAAAATTTTAGAAAACACACGACAGTAATACGATCTACATATGAAATATGAGGCAATTGGTAATCATTTTTGTTCTTTCATATGTTGTCCATGACAGTACTTGCATTTTTCCTTTTTAAAGCACTTCAGTGAAAGGCTTTCATATTTCATCTTAAAAAACTTAGGAGTTGATGACTTTGGGCTCCTTTGCCTGTGCATAATGAATACATATGTGAAATGAAGGTAGTGTGAAAGTTACCCACATTTTTGCATATAAAAAGGCCTCTTGATGATCATAGGAAATATTTAAATCAGTATCTGATTTCTAGATAGGCCTATTGAGAAGGTCATATTTAGGTTTACAGTATAAAATTCCCAAAGGAGCATTTTAAAATCTCTTACATGTAAAACAGTATACATTCTGAGAATACAAATGATGATGCAACCTGATTTTTTTTTAATATGTTACATATATTTGGTATGTAGAGTATATTTAGTATATGGAGTAGTGTAGTATATGGAATATACAGAACATAAACTTCAAAAACCATAACCATGCCCTTATCTTGATAGGAAGCTGAAGAAGAGGACAAAAAATGTGCCAGTGAGCTGGAGTCCTTGGAGAAACACAAACATCTGCTGGAGAGTGCTGTTAACGAGGGCCTCAGTGAAGCTATGAATGAATTAGACGCTATTCAGAGAGAGTAAGTTCACGTAACCAAGATTTATAATGTTTATTTTCAGATTAATTATTTAACATTTCTGTAAAACTAGATCTATGTTTATTAGCTTTAATTTATATTATAGAGCAATTTGGGGAAGAAGAGGTAACAAAAAGAGCTTGTAACTTGAAATACTGTCCCTAAACATATTCTGCTTCTATTAGAGCTCTTGGCCCCTAAGAAATCATTCATTTTTACATCTAATTAAGAAGCAGCTTTTAAACCCTGAAAACAGCATAAAATTTTCAGTCAACTGAAATACTTTGTTACTATTTTTAAGATATTTATACTTTCTAGAAATTATGTGTAAACTATATACTATAAATTGTATGGTCATTCTACTGTAACACTGTATGTGCCCTCATAATAATCACCACACTGCAAAATCATGCAGTAAAAAATCAGGACTTATAGTAAAATTGGGATTGGGTACAACACTTAAAATCTCTGTCAGTGACACACATAAGCAAAAGATGGGAACCTAACTAAAATGTTAGCACAATTGTACACATGTTAAATGGTTGAGAAATACATAATTGCTATGATAAATATGACACTTTATCTTAAAGAGACCTGAAGTTTGCCTGGGGAAAGGGGCATTCAAGGGGTTGCAGCTTGTAAATTATTGAGATGAGGTAGAACGATTATCTGAAATCAGATGGAAAGTTTTAATACCAGATGTGGATGCATGTGACTCATCACATAATGCAATGAACTGAGGGAGCTGGTACATGTTTGAGGTGTGTTTTTATATGTTTAGTGTATTCCTTTGCATCTGGATTCAGCTGCATGCAGTTTTCTGCATTCACCTAGTGTTTCTCAAGAAGGAAATGGCATAGGGCGCCTGGGTGGCTCAGTCGGTTAAGCGACTGCCTTCGGCTCAGGTCATGATCCTGGAGTCCCGGGATCGAGTCCCACATCGGGCTCCCTGCTCGGCGGGGAGTCTGCTTCTCCCTCTGACCCTCCTCCCTCTCATGCTCTCTGTCTCTCATTCTCCCTGTCTCAAATAAATAAATAAAATCTTTAAAAAAAAAGGAAATAGCATAAGGACACCTGTTGACTCAGTTGGAAAAACATGCAACTTTTTTTTTTTTTTTTAATAGCATGCAACTCTTGATCTCAGGATTGTGAGTTCAAGCCCCACATTGGGTGTAGAATTACTAAAATAAATAAATAAACTTTTAAAAAAAGGAAAGAGATGGCATAAACAGATACAAATTTTTGCATTATGGTCAAATTGCTATGTAATATATCAACCCAACTGGAACAAATACGTATTTCCAAACAAACAGCAGAACTAACTGTATATGTTACATTTCTTAGTTCTTCATTGTCAAGTTTTCCCTCTTGCTTTCCCTTATTATTTTAAAACTTACATTGGAAGAGTTTTAGCCACATTGTGTATTAACGGTAACTAAATGGTGACATCCCTTTTTTAAAGAGTATTCTGCCTTTGTGTATATAATTCTCTCATGAAACCTATATAAAGTCAATATACTGAATAGTTAATCCATAGGCTCTTTTTGTAGAAGTCTTAATTAAGTGGCCCTCAACTAAAAAAATCTGACTTTGAGGTTAGAAGTACAATCCTTAAGAAAAATCACACCTCTTCATTTGCTTATTTGTAGTTTAGGGATAAAAAACTCAGCTGAAGCATTTTTTTTTTTTTTGGCTGCAGTCTGTTTTTAATTTGAATTTGCATGCCTAAAAGTGAGACTCCCACTCCCCTATTCAAATGTATTGAATGCCTTCTCCCTGAAAGCATTTAAGTTTACAGTCCTTTTGGAGACTCAATCAAGACCATTTGCTCCCAAGTTTTATATGTTAAAGCACAAGGTTTTGGTGCTGTTTTGTTCTGTTGCTTGCAAAAGATCTTTGAAATTTTTTTTCTGTTTTAATGGTTGAGAAGCAAACAGCACAAATACCAAGCACAGTCTGGCTTTATTGAATATGAAAAGGAGAAGTGAGCTAACTAGAACTGATGCATTAGGTTTTTTCATAGATAACTCAAACAAGAGTTTTTATTCTACAGATACCAACTAATTGTGCAAACCACAACTGAAGAACGACGAAAAGTGGGAAATAACTTGCAGCGTCTTTTAGAGATGGTTGCCACACATGTAGGGTCTGTGGAGGTAAGTGTATGAAGGTCTTTCCTACATTCTAATAAAGCTTTTTAAAACTACATTTCTGTTTTGTTTCTACAGAAATTAAATGATAAATTTTATTTCTGTGGAAAATATGTTCTAGTAAAAAGTTATCAAAAGAGTCCTTTTTAGTGGTGTGAAAGGAGCATCTGCATTTCATAAAGCAATCTGTTCACATAAACAACATATAATGGTATTTATTACATCAGTAGTATATAATGATGTGCCAGGCCACATTCTATATACTGAAAACATATCAGCACATTTAAGATTTCATTAAGATTAAGATGAAACAGCATGTGTTAAGACAAATATTTTTCCTTTACGTTTATTTCATGTAAAGTACTGATAAAATATAGAATAAAGTACTTAAATGAAACATGAAGCATAGCTTAAAAGTTCAACAATAATACTATTCCTCCAACCTGCTGTACAGAGCCTAGAAGCCAAGATGAACTGCTAAACTTTAAAATTCCTGGATAGTGGCGCCTGGGTGACTCAGTCGTTAAAGCGTCTTGCCTTTGGCTCAGGTCATGATCAGGTCATGGTCCTGGGATCGAGCCCCGCATTATCGGGCTCCCTGCTCCGCGGGAAGCCCGCTTCTCCCTCTCCCTCTCCCCCTGTTTGTGATCCCTCTTTCGCTGTGTCTCTCTCTGTCAAATAAATAAATAAAATCTTAAAAAAATAAAATAAAATTCCTGGGTAGTCTATTAGGTGATAATATTATATTTCCAATTGTGAATGGTTTAAGAGAAAAAAACCTCATTTGTTAGGCTTCCATTTATTGAAAACAGAGCATGTGATATCCTACTTCCCCTCCCCTCTTTCTCCTGAAAGACATTGAGCTGCATTTTCTTGTTTGCCAGTGTTCTTCACTGCTTGGTGAAAAGAACTAAGAAAATATGCTGGATCCTACATCAGAAAACCTGGATTCTCCCCACTTAGTGGCTCTATAACCTTTCATAGATTCTTTTTCAATCAGTATTGTTAATTTGAACAACAGACCAGATAATTATATGAGTAATTACTTTCTTGTTCTCTCAGGGATGATGTATAATAAATGCATAAGAGGAAAATTCATTCACAGTCTGTGATGGTTGGCTCAAATTGAGAAAGTCTGTTTATATGTATCATTTTGCTTCTTTTGGTCTTCACTTTCTTCATCTGTATAATGAGAGGATTGTACTAAATCATTGCCAACATCCTTTGCATCTCTATCTATTATCTGTAACAATTAGTTTGACCTCAATGTTAATCCAATAGTGATTTATCACGAGGGATTTATATGAAAGGTAACCACAACTGTTAAAGTTTTAATCAGTTAACATGAAGTTAGATTTGAAACCCTAATGATAATTACTTTTATTTGCTATTTAGTTCATTGTTGTTCAAGATCAGACTGCATTTACAGAGCACTTACTTTGCACTATGTAAAATTCGCAATTAGCCAGTGAACTATGAAAGGAGCCCCTAAAGTCAACCAATCATCTTTAAAACCTAATGTGGGGAAATTTTACAAGTGATAAAATTAGACTAGAGAAAACAGAGGACTGTGGATCTAGTGGTATCTTTAGATGGGATATTCTTCCTCTGAGCTAAAACTTTTCTTTGAGCAGTTCCTGATTGGAGCCCCATGCAGGTCCTGTATGTGGCTTGATAGTCTAGCCTAGGAGACAGCAAACTACAGCCCACAGACCAAATTGTGCCCACGGGCTGCTTTTGTAAATAAAGTTTTATTGGAACACAGATACTTCATTCACTTCCATACTCTTTATGGTTGCATTCCCACTACACTGGCAGGGTTGAGCAGTTGCAACAAAGGCCATTTGGCTTACAAAACCTAAAATATTTGTTATTTGGCCCTTTACGGGAAAAGGATGCTGACTCCTGTTCCAGACTCCTACCTCCTTGAAGGGCACAAAATCTTTTTTGTCTGTTTAGATGTTAATAAATTATTATAAAGCTACAATAACGAACCCATTGTAGTACTGATGCATATAAACCAAGCTCTGATTCAGAGTCCAGAAGAAGATGGATGAGCATAGACAGGAAACTAATTTATAAGAGAGGTTGTATTGTAGACTAGTGGGGTAAAATGAATTGTTCTATTAATGGAGTTGGGATTCCTACCTAGACAAAAATCACTTCAAGATGGATTAAGAAGTTAATGTGAGGCTAAATTTATTTTTTTTTAGAGAGAGAATGAGAGCTGGGGAGAGGGGCAGGGGAATAGGGAGAGAGAATCTTAAGCAGGCTCCACTCCCAGTACAGAGTCCGATGTGGGGTTCGATCCCACAACCCTGAGGTCATGACCTGAGCTGAAATCAAGAGTCAGACATTTAACTGACCGAGCCACCCAGGCACCCCAATGTGAGACTAAATTTTTAACTTTTAGAAAAATTATAGACACAGTCTTTACACCTCAGGAGTTGTAAAGGAGTTCTTAAATTAGACATGAGTTAAAACCACAAAAGAAATTATTTATAAATTCAGCTTTGTTAAAATTAAGATCTCTACATCAAAAGACAAAGAAAGACTAGAGGGGCACCTGGGTGGTTCAGTTGGTTAAGCTTCTACCTTCGGCTCAGGTTATGATCCCAGGGTCCTGGGATCAGCCCCGCATCCAGCTCCCTGCTTATCGGGGAGTCTGTTTCTCCCTCTCCCTCTGCCCCTCCCCCCCATCACTTTCTCTCTCTAAATAAATAAATGAAATCTTTAAAAAAAAAAAAAAAAAGAGTGGAAAGACAAGCCACAAAACAGTAAATGATATTTTTTAAAACAACTAATAGCATCCAGATATATAATGACCTCTGGAAAATAAGTACAGAAGGTGGGCAAAAGACTTGAATGGGAATTTCACAGAAAGCTAAGGTGGCCAATAAACAGGAAAAGATCTACCACTTCCCACCCTCAGGAAATTGGCAAAAAAAATGAAAGTTTGAGAATACAAAATGCTAGCAAGAACGTGGAGAAATGCAAGTTTTCATTTATACTGCAGGGGTTGTAAATTGATGTTAACAATTTTAGAAAACAGTTTGGCAATCCCTAATAAAATGGTGCAATTCCGTTCTAGGTATTTAATTAAATGTTTACACTGTGTGCTGGAGTAATGTACTAGGTTGAATAGTATCCTCTCAAAATTCATGTGTATCCAGAATCTCATCATGTGACCTTATTTGAAAATAAGGTCTTTGTGGATGTCATTAGCTAAGATGAGGTCGTACTAGATTAGGGTAGGTCCTCAATTTAGGGACCGGTATCCTTATAAGAGTCCGTGTGAAGATGGAGGCAGAAATTAGAGTGACACAGCGGTCAGCTAAGGATTGCCCAGAACTGCTAAAAGCTGGTAAGAGGTAAGGAAGGATTCTTCCCTAGAGCCTTCAGAGAAAGTGGCCCTGTCAGTATCTTGATTTTGGACTTCAAGCCTCCAAAACTGAGAAAATAAATTTCTGTTGCCTTAAGCCATCTAGTATGTTGAAATTTGTTATAGTATAATTGAAATAGTAAAAAACATAACCCAGTATATTAGTTTCCTGTTACTGCTATAACAAATTACTACCAACTTAATGGCTTAAAGCGACACATTTATTTCCTTATATATCTGGAGGTCAGGAGTACAAAATGGGCCTCCCAGACTGCAATCTTTCTAGAGACTCTAGGATGGAATTTATTTGCCTTTTCCCTTTTATAGAACCATCTATCCCCCCTTCATGCAGCCTCTTCATCTTCAAAGCCAACAGCACAACATCTTCTATCCCCTCTGACCACTCTTCTGTCCTTACGTTTTCTCTCTCTGACTCTCACATTGACATTGCTGATTCCCTCTTACCAGGACCCTTGTGATTACACTGGACCCACCAAGACAATGCAGAATGATCTCCTTTTCTCAAACTCCTTAATCACATCTGTCAAGTTCCTTTGCCCTGTAAGATAATGTATTCACAGGTTCTGGGGATTAGGCCATGGACATCTTTGAGGAGGCTGCTATTCAGCCTACCACACCTGGAAATAAATTAAAATTCATAAATAGTAAAATGGATAAATAAATATTGATATATTCATGCAATAGAAAACTATTTGGCAGTACATGAATAAATGAGCTATCTGCATTAACATCAATGAATCAAAACACTGAGTGGAAAAAAGTCAGAGTATTATATTTAATATCATTCAGTAAATATGAATGTTAAAACCAGGTACCACTAAACTATATTGTTTAGAGATACATACATACATACATATCAGTGGGGGGTAGGGGGGTAAAAGTATAAAGAAAAGCAAAACATCGTTGAGGAGAGTGGTTAGCTCTGGGAAGAAAAATGGGGATATGATTAGGAAAGGGCACAAAAAGGGATTCAAGAGTATCCCTTAAATTTCCTGTTCTTACAAATGTTACCACTTGTTTGTATATTTCACAGTTAAACTCTTTCTAAAAGAATTTAATGTTTTTTCATTAACAATTGCTCATTGTTTTCACTAGAAATATCTTGAGGAGCAGATTGCTAAAGTTGATAGAGAGTATGAAGAATACGTGTCTGAAGATCTCTTGGAAAATATTAGAGAGATTGGAGACAAGTATAAGAAGAAAGCTGCTCTAATTAAGCCTTCTGATGAATGAAGATAAAATATTGATTAAGCAAGAACTTTATTAACAGTGTAAATTTTTAAATGTCCTCTGTAGGTTTGAAAAATCTCTAACATATCTTATACCCCTCCCTACAATGAAGTCTTATGACCATATCTTCCCAAGCCTGTGAAATATTTTTATATCTTTTATAAATCTAGTTCATTAATTTAAAGTATGTATAACCTGAAATTATGATAACTTGTTTTTTTGTTATCTTTAGATGTGAAAGACTAGTTATATTATGTATCCAGAGTTAATAAAATTATATCAACAAAGTGTGTTTTCCCCTGATTTCTCAACCTAACTTCAGATGGTTAGAAGATAGTTATTTTGATCTAAACCAGGAATCAGCAAACTGTGGGCCAAATGCAGTCACATCCAATCATTGATATATCATCTATGACTGCTTTCACTCTATAGTGGCAATGTTTATTATATGGGACAGAGACCATATGGCTGCAGAGCCAAAAATGTGTACTATCTGGCTCTTTACACAAAGTTTGCCAATCCCTGGTATAAGCTATACAAAGGTTGGGGCTCTTTAAAAAATGTATTCCAACTCATTCCTTATTCAGAGCCAAGAAGCTAAATTTCTTTCTGGCTTCATGCCACCATTACTCTGAAATGAGCAGAAGAATATGGAATGTGAAAATCAGAAGAAATAATAAAATAGTTCAATCCCCTCATTTTAGAGATGAGAATTCATTTCTACAAATGTTCTGATTTACCTCTGGTCACACCTCTTTGTAGGGGTAGAAGTCACACAGGAACTTACTTGTAACAGTACACAATCCTGACTGTGTACAGCCAGCCACAGGAGCTGTAAGATAGGAATTTTCTGGATGGTGAGGAAGTCATGTTAGAACGTAAGATTATTTGGTCTAAATTGTTAGGAAGCTCCTCACATTCAGCTGATATCTGCCCCTAGTTGAACTTTCTATTCAAAGTTATTACAACTCATGCAAGTCAAAATGAAGAGCATGATAAAATGAAACAATATAAAAACCCAAAATGGAATTCCACCAAAGCTTTATGAAAGAACAGCATGCAGCCTGAGAGGGTGGGATGAACAAAAACAGGTTATAGTTAGGAGATAATAGGACAAGATTAATAGTTGCCAATGTACTCACGAATCTTGGCCATTAACATCCAACAGAACTTTCTTCAGTGATGGAAATATTTTATCTGCACTATCCAGTATGATACCAGCCATATGTATCTATTGTGCATTCAAATGACCTCTGTTTATGACAAAGACAACTCAGACTTTGCCCCTCAAAAGTGTGGTATGGAAACAGCAGCATTAGCATCACCAGGGAGTTCGTGTTTTAGTTAAAAACACAGACTCTTGGCCCCACCCAAACCTACTGAATCAGAATCTGAACCTTTCATAGTGTATTGACAAACTATACTTATTTAAATTTTTCGTAAGTTTTGACATCCATATACACCTATAAAATCATCACAAACTGATGAATAATATCCATCACCACTAAAAGTTTCCTTGTGGCCCTTTGCAATCTTGTCTCTTTCCCCTGACACTTGCCCATCTATCCCCAGGCACGCACTGATCTCCTTTCTGTTATTATAGATCAGTAGAATAATATGTACGCTTGTATGGCTTCTTTCAGAATATTTTGAGATCCAAGATTATTTTGAGGTCCACATTGCATTGAATATCAGTAGCTCATTCCTCTTTGCTGACTAGTGTTCATTATATGAATATACTGAGTTTGTTTATCTGATGGACATTTAGATTCTTTAGTTTTTGCCTTACAAATAAAGTCATTTATTTGTACATTCATGTTCAAGTGTTTGTATGGACATATGCTTTCATTTCTCTTGGGTAAATACCTAGGATTGGACTGGCTAGTTCATACAGGGTAGGTGCATATTTGACTTTTATGAAATTTAGATAATGTTTTCTGAAGTGATGGTACCATATGTTCCTACCTGCAATGTATGAGACTTCCAGTTGCTCCACATCCTCACCCACATGTGGTATGGCCAGTCATTTTAATTTCAGCCATCCTAAGGGGGTGTGGCTCTATCTCATTGTGATATTAATTTGCACTTCCCTAATGTTAAGCATTTTGTCATATGTTTATTTGTCAGCCACGTATCATCATGGTGAAGTGTCTCTTCAAATATCGGCCCATATTTTTACTGGATTGTTTCTTATCAAAAAAGCCCAATTTGTTGCTTCTTTTATACTTTCTGCATTTTGTGAAGTTTTCAAGGTATCTTTGCCAGCATCAATATGATTTTCATCTATATTTTATTCTAGAAGTTTAATGGGCTTGACTACTGAATCAAAATCAGAATCCAAACCTGAATCTTTAAAAGGTCCCCAAGTTGTTCATATGTACATTAAAATTTGAGATGTACTACTTTAAAAGTGACCACTAGTTAAGTATTATTCATAGTATAATACTATTTAATAGTGACTTTATTTTTTTTTAAGATTTTATTTATTTGCCAGAGAGAGCGACAGCGAGTGAGGGAACACAAGCAGGGGGAGTGGGAGAGGAAGAAGCAGGCCTCCCGCTGAGCAAGGAGCCCGATGCGGGATTCTATCCCAGCCCTGGGATCATGACCTGAGCCGAAGGCAGATGCTTAAACAACTGAGCCACCCAGGTATCCCTAATAGTGACTTTAGAAATGACAGAAAAGACATACTAAGTTCAAACAAAATGACTGCCTAAGCACAACCTAGAACATGTTCAAGAGACAAAAGTGATCAGTAAATTTGCAGTAAACTTTTCACTCAACATTTTTTACCTCACTCTATAGTTTTCTTCTAAATTCCTAAGGACATGCTTATCTTCAGAACTAACACCACTGAGGTAGATATTATTCCAGTTAAAAATTCCAAGAATCCTAGAGTCAGAAAAGGCTTTAGATATACAGTTCAACCTCACAATCAATAAGGAATACCAACCTTGGCATTTTTGGTAGATGGCTTACCTAGTCCTGAATACTTCCAGGGAGTATTCCAAATTGCTAATTATTTCAAAGCATCTCATGGTTGAGCAATGCTACTTGCCAGGAAGTTCTCTATCTTATATTGGCCAAAACCTGCCTTCATGTAATTCATTCCACCTTTTTGTCATAGATTGTTGAGTTATCAGTTTCCAGTTACATTTAGGGATATCAGTTATCTATTATTGTCTTATGTTTGACTCTGTGTTTGATTAACTCAATCTTTTCTCAATTATTTTAATCTCTTTGTTATTCTACCTTGCTTTCAATGTTACTAATACAAATAACCCCCTTCACACAAATTCCCTAGCTAATATTTTACTATATTTATCATTCTTTTCCCCTTTCTTATTAACCTTTTTTTTAATCTATCTTAACTCACTTGTAAGTTGCAGATGTGATACCGCTTTACCTCTAAATATTTCAGTCTATATTTCCTAAAAACAATGACAATCTCTTAGACAACCATAGGACAATTATCAAAAACGGGGGCACCTGGGTGGCTCAGTAAGTTAAGCGTCTGCCTTCGGCTCAGGTCATGATTCCGGAGCTCCAATCGAGCCCCACGTAGGGCTCCCTGCTCAGTGGGGAGTCTGCTTCTCCCTCTCCCTCTGCTCTTCTCCCCCCCTCTACCCCCTTGGCTTGTGCTCTCTCTCTCGCCCACTCTCTCAAATAAATAAATAAAATCTTAAAAAAAAAAGACAATTATCAAAAACAAAATTAATATTGGTACATTAGTACCTAATCTACAGAATGTACTCGAATTTTGCCAATTGTCCTTTATTAGGATTTTTTTCCAGGGCGCCTGGGTGGCTCAGTCGTTAAGCGTCTGCCTTTGGCCCAGGTCATGGTCCCAGGGTCTTGGGATCGAGCTCCGCATCGGGCTCCCTGCTCCACCGGGAGTCTGCTTCTCCCTCTCCCACTCCCCCCCACTGCTTGTGTTCCTGCTCTCGCTGTTTCTCTCTCTGTCAAATAAATAATTTAAAATTTTAAAATTTTTTTAAAAAATAAGATTTTTTTCCTAGTCCAGGATCCATTCCAGGATCACACTACCAATAGTTGTCAAATCTATTTACTCTACTTTATGATGGAAGAGCTGGTCATTACATCTTTGACTTTCATGATCTTGGCATTTTTGAAGAGTCCAGTCAATTTATAGACTGTCCCTTAATTTTTGCTTAATTTATTCTCACAGTTAGATAGGATATGTTTCTTGCAGGACACCACAGAAATAATGTTACATTCTTTTCAGTAAATTGCATCAAAAGGCACATGATATTTATTGGTACCATTAATGTAATTTAATCACTTGATTTTGTTAGTATGTGCAGTTACGATTTTCCCCTTTGTAATTAAGAAGTGAGGAGGAGGAGTGGCTCAGTCGGTTAAGCATCCTACTCTTGATTTCAGTTCAGGTCATGATCTCAGGGTTGTGAGATGGAGCCCCATGTCAGGCTCTGCACTGGGCAGAGATACTCTCTCTCCCTCTCCCTCTGCCCCTCCCCCAATTCTCTCTCTCCCTCCCTCTGTAAAAAAAAAAAAAAAAAAGGTGGGGAGGCTACTTTGGGACTATGTAGATATTTATCATTAAGCTTTCACCTACTAGTTTTAACATCTATGTCTCTTGAATGAATTACTACTGTGATAATTGCCCAAAAAAAATGATTTTTTATTGAGAAATAATTGACATATTAGTTTCAGGTGTACAACATAATAATTTAGTATTTGTGTATATTGCAAAATGATCACCACAATAAGTCTAATTAACATTCATCATCACACATTTACACATTTTTCTTGTGATGAGAACTTTTAAGATGTACACTCTAAACAGCTTTCAAATATACAATACAGTGTTGTTAACTATAAATGTCCTGCTATACATTAAGTGATTTTTAAATTTCTAATTCTAGAAATTTTTAGGTGCAAAGTGATTTTTAACTTCTAATTCTATTACTCATTACTTCTATACTAATCACTTGGCATTCTACTCTAAGAAAGAACTTTCCCTTCTCTCCTATTTATTTATATCAGTATGGACCCATGGATTCTTATATTAATCAATGGGTTATAATCTATAACTATCATTATTTATTTTGATGTTTAAATTGTCCCAGGTTTGACGAGTGGGAGCCCCCTTCAGGCTGACTTCTCTATCCTTTTTGACATTTCTCTGTCATTCTTTGAGTATTTACTTGCTTTCTGGCACAATCCAATATTTCAGGCCCAGTCTTTACTTTCCCTGCTCAATCCCTGGAATTGACCAGTTCTCCAAGGATGACTGGTCCCTTTTAATGGACAATAATATTTGGAAACCAAAACCTAAGCACTGTATGTGTTCATTGCTCCTAACATGCCAATGTTTCCAGGCCTTCCCCAAGGACAGAGCTAGAAAATATAAGTATTGAGAGGCTGCCAGGAAGATGGTGGAGTAGGATGACCCTGTGCTTACCCCTTGCCACGTGGTGGCCTAGAGAGCACCCACATCGGCATAAATAACCCAGAAAGCAACCCGAAAACTGGCAGAACAGACTCTGCAGCCCGGCATACACAAGAGGCCACAGTGAAGCAGATCTACCCCCTCTGATCGCTCTTGGCAAGATCCCATCAAAGCAGTGCCACAAGCCTGGCAGTGTGCGTGCAGCCCAGACAAGGGCCAGCACCACTCCAAAGTGAGTCCTGCTCCAGGGAGAGGGGAAGATAACCACACACCAGTCTGACTCTGACCCCACCAGTGGGCTGGGGCCAGGCAGCTGGTCTGATCACAGGCCCCACACACCAACAAAAGCTTCTCAAGGGACAACACAGGGAAAGTGCCTGCAGTTTGGTACTACTTCATCTCTGGCAAACACCTGGTCTGACTCAACTCAAGCCCAAGGCAGCCCCGGACCAGCCCACTAACACGACAAGCACCAGACTCTACCCACAACAGGCAGAGAGCCATCACAGGCTGGACTGAAGGCAAACACATCCCAGCCATAATGGTAGGAGACCCCTGTAGCAACACACATAGGAGACCCCCTGAAGCACCATTTTCCTGTGAAAAGGAGACATTGAGCTGCAGGACCTCTTCTTCATAAAGCCACTAGCTTCAAGTGTAGGAGACGTAGCTGACTGATGAATCACTGAACTCTACCTCTGAAACTAATAATACACTATATGTTAACTAATTGAATTTAAATTAAAAAAAGGAAATCCCCCAAAAAAGAAAATATAAGTATTTATATACATACACATATCTATATAGTTCTATCTGTATTAATATATTACAAACCATGAGTTCATATCAATATCTCCAGTTCCACTCTAGTACCACACAGGTGCTTAACACAGAGAAACAGACATAGCAATAGACAGAATGAGGAGACAGAGGAATATGTCCCAAATGAAAGAGCAGAACACAATCAGAGCAGGAGACCTAAGCGAAATGGAGATAAGTAATATGTCTGATAGAGAATTTAAAGTAATGCTCATAAAGATACTCACTGGACTTGAGAAAAGAGTGTAGAACTTCCATGAGACCCTCCACCAAGAGATATGAGACATAAAAAAGAACCAATTAGAGCTATTGGACTCACTAAATGGAAATAAAAATAGACCACCTAGAATAAATAGCAAACAAGAGGAAGTAGAAGAACAGATCAGCCACCTGGAGGACAGAGTAATAGAAAGTAAGCTGAGCAGATGAGAGGGGGAAAAAATACGCAAAATGAGAATAGACCCAGAGAACTCAGCA